TGGCAGCTTGTACTTTCTGCTGCTGAAGGATCGCCACACTCGTTTCGTGTGGACAATGCCGGTCGCTAAGAAGAGCGACGTGCTGCGGGAGTTTCAGAAGTGGCTGGTGCTGGTGGAACGACAGACGAAGAAGTCGGTACTGTCGCTCCGCTCTGACCGAGGAGGGGAGTTCCTCGGAAAGGATTTCACCACCTTCGTCGACGGGAAGGGCATCGTCCACGACCTGACGTGCCCCTACACTCCGCAGCAAAATGGCATGGCTGAGCGGGAGATGCGCACGGCCGTCGACTCCGTGCGAACGATGCTGCTGCACATGGGCGTGCAGCACCACTGGTCGCACTTCGCTCTTCGAGAGGCTGTCTGGGTGCGCAACTGCTTGGAGCGGTCGACGACGCCGCCGGGGACAACTCCGTACCAGCTGCTGACCGGGAAGAAGCCCGACCTCACGCTGGCGCGGGTGTGGGGCTGCATGGTGCAGTTCATGGTTCCCGAGCAGCAGAGCGACGGGAAGCTGGCACCGAAGGCTCGCTGGGGGCTTCACCTGGGCGTGTCGCCGGAGAGCAAGGGCTGGGAGGTGCTCGACCTAACCGACAACAAGGTGGTCACGTCGGTCGAGGTGATCTTCTACGAGACGTTGTCGCTGGAGGTGTGGACGGCGACGTATGGGCCGGCGTCAGGGCGGACCCAGGCGCACCCGCCGACGGACACCTCGACGGCGACGGTCCCACTGCTCGCCGAAGTCGACGAGCCTGCTGATGAGGATGTTGTGGAGGTTCCTCCACCTCCCCCTGTTCTTGCTCCTCCCTCCCCCGTCGCAGATCGGCCTGCGTCGACACCTGTGTCGGCCACCGGCGATGAGGGGAGCCTTGAGGCGTCGCCTGTGGCGCCGGCCAGTGGCATCGCCGGCGGTCAATAAGGCGCCAAGCTCGTCAACCAGGACCGGAAGCCGTCGACGACAGGGGAGCCGGTCGATCTGGAGGCAGCAGCAGGAGGGCAGTCGATAGGGGAGCAGCAGTCGGGGCGGTCGACAGGGAAGCTGTCGAAGTCAGCAGCAGGCGAGCAGCCGGTCGAAGGGTCGAAGCGGCTGGTGGACGATGCGAACGTCGACGAGGAAGGGGAGCTGTCGGCGGGAGAGGAGTCCACCGACAGTGATGTGGTGGAGGTTCCGGTCGAGAAGTCTGCGCCGGAGCTTCGGCGTTCTGGTCGAGCTCGACGGCCGCCGGAGCGGCTGAGCTTCCACGCCTGCCTGCCACCAGCTGCCTTCACCACGGTGTATGACGAGGTCGACGACGACCTGTTGTACGACGATGCCCAGGAGGATGATGACCTGTCATAGCTCGACCCCGACGTGCATGCCGACCCCGAACACCGCTGGGACATCGCCACGATGACGGTGAAGGAGGCGCTGGCAAGCTGGAAGGGCGAGGCGGTGAAGGCCGCCATGGAAGAGGAGATCCGCAGCCTCATCGGCATGGGCACTTGGGAGCTGGTCGAACGCCCACGCGGAGTGAACATCATGAAGAACCGGTGGGTGCTGACGACCAAGTACCGCATCGACGACACTGTCGAGCGCGAGAAGGCAAGGCTGGTCGTGAAGGGCTTCACGTAGGTGTACGGCACCGACTACGAGGAGACATACTCGCTGGTGAGCAGCTACGTCACGCTGAGGATCTTTCTCAGCATCGTCGCCGTCCTCGACCTCAACCTGATGCAGCTCGACATGAAGAACGCTTTCCTGCAAAGCAAGCTCGACAGGGTGCTCTACATGTACCAGCCGGACTACTTCGACGATGGGACCGGCCGGGTGTGTAAGCTGCTGAAGAGCCCTTATGGGCTGAAGCAGTCACCGCTGCTGTGGTACATGGCTCTCGACAGTGTGCTGCCGGGCGCTGGCTGGAAGAAGAGCCAGGGAGATGAGGCTCTCTACTTCAAGGTCGGCGACGACGGGGTGACATGCTGGGTGCTGGTCTACGTCGACGACCTGCTCGCCGCCAGCAGCAGCACCGCAATGCTGAAGGAGCTAAAGAAGCTGCTAGAGGCTGCCTTCAAGTTGCGCGAGATCTCGCTGGTGGTGAAGTACCTTGGACTGGAGATCGTGCGCGACAGGCCGGCGAGGAAGCTGTGGCTGCACCAGCAGGGCTATGCCGACAAGCTGCGCAGGCGCTTCATCGACGAGGAGCAGGGCGGTCGAGTCCCGAAGACGCCGGTCTCGGTCGACGCCTACACTGAGCTGACGTTCGACGACGAGGAGGCCCAGGAACGCGAGGAGGAAGAGTACCGGCCGAAAGTTGGCTCGCTGCAGTTCGCGGCGACGACGATGAGGCCGGACATCGCGTTTGCCTACAGCAAGTAGGGGAGCGGCCTCACGGTGAGGAGCGACCAGCATTGGCGCGAGGTCGACCGCTGCCTCACCTACCTCGCCGACACCCGCGACACCGCCTTGGAGTTCGGCGGTGGACCAGAGTCGCTGGAGCTGATCGGCTACGTGGACGCCGACGACGCGGGCGACAAGCAGAACCGGATGAGCACGGGTGGCTACGTGTTCGTCTATGGAGGGGCCGCGGTCTCCTGGTCGAGCTAGCGCATCAAGTGCGCGACGCTCTCCTCGACCGAGTCAGAGTACGTCGCGGCCACGGACGCCGGCAAGGAGGGGCGTCGACTTCGCTTCCTCCTTGCAGAATTCCAGTTGCTCGATGCTGGTAAGCCGACCGTCCTCCGCGTGGACAATAAGTCAGCGATCACGGTCGCCGAGGGCTTGGGGCTGACAGGCAACCTCAAGCACATGGAGCGATGCTACGCCTGGCTGCACCATATGGTGAGGCGCGGGAAGTTCGTGCTGAAGTACATCCCGACCACCGAGCAGCCGGCTGACTTCCTGACGAAGGCGCTGCACTTTCCGGCCTTCAACCGGTGCTCCGTCGCGATCGGCCTAGTACGCCTGGCCAACGTCGGCGACTGGGACGATGAGGTGCAGCAGTAGGTGCTGTGCCCTTCTGCACGGCTGGTGCGGTGACGGCGTGCTGTGTGTGGGGTGCACGCCGAGGACGAGTTTTCTCCGTGGAGTACTGCCTGTTAGAAGTAAGGGAGAAGGGTGATGGACTATCGAGTGATTTTTGGTACAAGTAGAGAACCCTAAGGGGTTGTACCCCACATTGTCTACCCCACTACAGCCTACCAACATAGACTATAACATATAGATATAGTTTGACTCACCCCCATAGGCAAAGTGGGGGAGAACAAGGGGTCACAAGACCAGTCAAGAGAAGCAAAGCAAGCTCAGGGTGGATCACAACGTCACCACACACTCTGAGCACAAGCAAAGGGCCACAAGGCCAGTTCACATGCAGAAGTATATATGCAACAGTAGCAGTACAGTGATCTCTACCTAACAACACCCAACATGCAAGTATATGTATAGATCACAGTACAAGCAAAGTCACGAGGTAAGCAAGTGAGACGAAACTTGTCAGAACTAGCTGTAGAAAGTAAGAATGAAGAAAGGAGAGGGTTTGCACTAGCAGCAGTTGGCATACATATAGGAAACCCTAATTGGGTTGTACTCGCTATAGAGTACCCCACTGCAGGCTAGAGCATAATATTCTGACACACCCCCATAGCCAAAGTGGGGTGTAATCAGCAGAGAAAGCAAAGCAGTACAAGCTCAGGGTGGATCACAATGTCACCACACATTCTGAGCACAAGTTTAAGAAGCAATAGTTTAAAGTGCACAATTATGAGCAAAGCTAGAGGCAGTTACAGAGGGCAAGTGAGGAGGAGGAGGGCTAGCGAGAGGAGAGAAGAGTGGAGGCGACGACTGAAGCTGCAGACACACGGGCAACAGACGGCTCTGGTGCAACTCTAGTGGCTACCGGGAGCAAGGGCCCCGGAATACAGGAGTAACAGGCTCTGCGTCTGATCAGCAGCGACAGGAGCAACGGACCCACGGGCGACAGGTGCAACCGGCTCTCTGAGCTACCGGTGGCTATCAGAACCCCGGAATACAGGCGCTGCAGACGACACGACGGCTGCCTCCACCCAACCTCCTCCAACTGTCCCACACCCCCCAACACACACCCCCTGCTGAAACCCTAGCTCCACTCCCATGGCACCCCCCTTAAACCCTAAACCCTCGGCTCCCACACACCCACCCCCCTGAGCAGCAGCTGCAGCAGTGGGAGACGGAGGAGGAGGAGGAGCAGGGGACGGCTGACAGAGACGGCACCCCCATACGCTCCACCCCCAAACCCTAATTCAGGAGTACGGGCAGCAGCAGGGGTGGGGCGCCGTCAGAAGCGCGAGGGACGGCGTGCAGCTCAGTGGGAGAGGAGACCGGGCGCCCGCGGGCCAGGCGCAGCCCGTACGAACCGCGCGCAGGCGGCCCGAGGCGCGCGCGGGCCAGGCGCAGCCCGTACGGGCCGCGCGCGGGCCTGGCGCAGGCCGTACGGGCCGCGCGCGGGCCTGGCGCAGCCCGTACGAGCAGCGCGCGGGTTGTACGGGCCGCGCGCGGGCCTGGCGCAGCCCGTACGGGCCGCGCGCGTGCAGGACAGGCCGCGCGCGGGCCTGGCGCAGCCTGTACGGGCCGCGCTCGTGCAGTACGGGCCGCGCACGGGCGACGGGGGCGACGCGCGGGTCCCCGGGGGCGCTTCGGCGGGCGACGGGGGGAGAAAACCGCCGCGCGCCTCGGGGCGCACGGCGGGCAGAAAACCGCCGCACACCTCGGGGCGCACGGCGGGATGAAAAATCCGTCGCACGCCACGAGGCGTGCGACACACAGAGTAGCAGTAGCAGTAGCAGTAGCAGCGGAAGGCTTAGGTGGTGGGCCCACCCACAGGATCGACCCAGGAGGGTCGACCTGCTCTGATAGCATGTCAGAACTAGCTGTAGAAAGTAAGAATGAAGAAAGGAGAGGGTTTGCACTAGCAGCAGTTGGCATACATATAGGAAACCCTAATTGGGTTGTACTCGCTATAGAGTACCCCACTGCAGGCTAGAGCATAATATTATGAAAAAACTGACACCAGGCCTAACAGAGTACACAGACGCTGATGATCACTAGACGGAAGTGCCTTGGTGAATATATCAGCAGTGTTGGCCCGAGTGTCCACGTGAGTGAGACGAAGCTGATGACGCTGCTGCAACTCTCGAGCCAAGAAGTAACGCAGAGCGATGTGCTTCGTTCTGTGCTCCAGCCTGTGCTCCTCACACAAGGCAATGGCAGCCTTGTTGTCTACGTACGCCGACCGGTAGGTGAGCCAGCGTAGCTCCTGTGCAGCCATGGCTGTGGCGTAGATCTCAGCCTCACAACTGGAGCTGAGAACAGAAGAAGAGCGTGTAGACCGCCAAGAAACAGAACCAGAGCCAAGGCTGAACGTGTAACCCTGTGACGACCGCTGTGTAGCCAGGTCGTCAACCCAAGAAGCGTCCGAGTGTCCAGTGAGAACAACGTCACCCCGTCCTCCAAGCACGAGCCCCATGCCCGACGTACTGCACAAGTAACGCAGTACCCTCTTCGCAGCATCCCAGTGCACCTTTCGGTGTCTACCAGGAGCCACGTAGCGTGCCAGAAGGCCAAGAGGGTACGCGAGGTCAGGACGAGTGCAGGTCATCAGGTACATGAGGCAGCCCACTAACTCTGGGTACGGGCCACTCGGCTCTACAGACTCATCCGAAGGCAGAGCTGAGAGCGAGTGACCAGTAGCCAGAGGAGTGGACTGTGGCGAGGAGAACTGGAAGCCGAAGCGCTGAAGGACCTGCTGCACCATGTGTGACTGAGTCAGGGTGATGGTGCGGCGTGCTCTGTCCCGGGTAATCTGCAAGCCAAGGTAACTGCGCAGCTCACCCAGGTCTGTGCACGTGTGTCTCTTCTTCAGCTCCGACTTCACAAAGGTGAGTGCCTCAGTGTCAACAGTGGAAAAGACCAAGTCGTCGACGTACACGAGGATGTAGAACGGCGGCAGCGAGGTGTCGGTGCGCAGAAACAGCGACAGGTCAGCAGTAGAAGGAGCAAACCCAAGAGCCGCAAGTGTAGTCCTCAGTGTGTCGTGCCACTCACGAGGCGCCTGACAGAGACCGTAGACTGGCCGCCGGAGGCTCCACTGGGTACCAGGAGGGAACGCCCCAGTGAAGCCAGGTGGGCGGCGCAGCCAGATCTCCTCGTGCAAACTGCCCTGCAAGAAAGCTGTGCTGAAGTCAAGAGAGTGAAGCTCGTAGTCACGCTGAGCAGCAACGTGCAGCAGCACCCGAAGAGTAGTCATCTTCGGGGTAGGGGAGAAGGTCTGGAAGAAGTCAACTCCCTGTCGCTGACTGAAGCCTCGAGCAACGTAACGAGCCTTGAAGACAGGCGGAGAACCCGGCGGCCGCTTCACCCTGAAAATCCACATGCCATCGACGATGTTCGCCCCAGGAGGGGGAACCTCGTCGACGTAAGTGCCTGTGGACTTCCAGGATGTCATCTCTGCGTCCATGGCTGTCTGCCACTAAGAGGAGTAGTCACCCAAGATCGCCTCTGCGTAAGAGCGCGGGGTGGGGATGTCCAGTGCATCCGGGTCTCCCTCATGGGCAAGCAGCATGGCCACGAGATGAGGCGCAGCGACGGCAAGACAGTCAAAGTCCTCCTGCCTGTCCTCAAGGACGTCCGTGCCTAGAGCACACTCACCCCCGACGGACGGAGGACAGACAGACTCAGACTCAGCAACTAGACCGGCAGCGTAGTCGAGACGACAAGCAGCAGCAAAGTCAACAAGCTCAGCGACCAAGGCAGACGCAGCAGCGGACTCAAACGAAGGGTCAGTGACAACAGTGGCCAACAGACGCGTGACAGTAGGGTGAGCAGCACGAACGAGGTCAGACTCAGGGTCCGGAACGTCAGGCAGAGAAGACGCAGGAGGAGACGGCAGGGGAACGCGCAGAGGAACAGAGGAAGGACGAAGTGCCATAGTGTGAACACCTGGCACAGGGGGAGGACGTGGACCAGGCACACGACGAGCAGTGCGAATAGTGCGAACAGGCGAGGCAAGACGCGACGCAGGCTCACGACTCAGACTGCACAAGGTAAGGAGACGGCGTAGGCAGCGGAGAGCCGGGTTGTAACGGGAGGCCAGTAGAAGACGGGAGGGTAAGAACCTGGCGAAGCACGGTGTCAGGCGGCGGCAGGGACGATGGAGACGGCGGAGCGAAGAACAGGCGCGACTGTGCCGTACCACCAGCTCCAGGGTCCGCAGCACTACTAGTCCCGGCAGCTCCAGCACCCGAAGTGCGAGCACCTCCGTGATCAGTAGCGCTCGGACAACCAGCACCTCCAGTACCAGCAGCACCACCAGCTCCAGCAGTCGCAGTACCTCCAGAACTAGCAGCACCCTCGCCTCCAGCGCCAGCAGCTCCAGCGCCTCCAGCAGCACCAGCAGCTCCAGCGCCTCCAGCGGCAGCAGCTCCAGCGTCTCCAGCGTCAGCAGCTCCAGTGGCTCCAGCACCTCCAGCTCCAGGGTCTCCAACTCCAGGGTCGACAGCACCAGCTCCAGGGTCTCCAGCTCCAGCGCCTCCAACTGCGGCACCTTCAATCCTGGCAGCTCGAGCAGCTCCGGTACGAGCACCTCCATAACCAGAAACACTAGCACTCACAGCGCCTCCACTACGAGCAGCTCCAACAGCTCCAGTCTCAGCACCCCTACCAGCAGTACCTCCAGAAGCAGGACCTCCAGCTCCAGCAGCACAACGTCTCAGGCGGGTACGTCACGCAAGCCACTCTCGTAGCTACTGTGGTGAGAGAGGTCCCCGCCGGGAAACAAGACCCTGAGGAACGCCAGCAGACTCAGCACCCCCCGACCCGGCACCCTCCAGCTCAGCACCCTCAGGCTCCGCACTCGAAGGCCCAGCACCCCTAGGCTCCACACCCCCCAGCACCTCACGCATAGGCTCAGCACCCTCAGACACAGCACCCCGAGTAGCACCACCCCCAGCAGCACCAGAGTCAACAGGAACCGGGTCAGCCGGGGCGTCAGCAGCAACGTCACCCCCCTCAGTCGGGCCAGAGGCATCAGCTCCAAAGGCACAGCCAAGGGGAATGGGTCTACCTGAGACACACCTGAGGGAGCAGGACCCTGAGGGGGGAGGGGGTCTACCGGAGGGGGACCTGGAGCGAGGAAAAGCGGCGGGGGAGGGAGAGGGGCAGTGCGGTAGGGGAAGAGACGGTAGAAAGGAACCGACTCGTCAAAGGTGACGTCCTGGGAGGCGAAGACCCTGCGCGAGGTGGGGTGGTAAAACTGCCAGCCAGGCGCGTCCGGGACAAAGCCAAGGAAGACAAGGCAGAGGGACATAGGGAATGGTGCGGGAGGAGAGCTTGTCCGCGGACGTATCGCGGACAAGGGCACGAGCACCCCAGACCCGGAAGCGCGACGCATCACCAACCTCCCCCGTCCAACGCAGTGTGGGCGAGGTGTCCGGCAAGGACACACGGGGCCAGAGGTTGAGCTGCTGCGCAGCGTACCGGACTGCAAACGGCCACAGGAAATGGGGAGCCGCTGCATGGATAAAAGAGGTACGAGCGATCTCCATGACCAAACCAATGCGGCGCTCAGCAACCCCATTTTGCTGCGGTGAGCCCGGAAGCGTGAACAACATGTCGGAGGAGAACTCACCACCTCTGTCAGAGTGCAGACGCAGGACAGGAAGGTATGACCGAAACCGGCGGCGGAGCTGGAGACAAACTGCTCGGATCCAAGGGATCAGGACAGCAGGGACTTCACCCTTGGTGCGCAAGGGGAAGACCGTGGTATAACGCGAGTAGTCGTCGACAACCAGCAGAAAGTACCGCTCGCCGCCCTGTCCAGTGACGCGGGCTGGGCCCCACACGTCCAGGTGGAGGGTTTGCAAGGGAGCCTCTGTCGGGGGGAACGAGGAGGAGTGAGGAGCGGCGCGTTGCCGCCCCTCGACGCAAGGAAGGCAGGGCGGCGCAGGCGAGGCAGGGAGGGGAGGCAGAGATCTGGGAAGACCAGACACAAGAAGGCGATGGTGCATGCCACGTAGACGAGGCAAGGAGGGGTGACCCAGACGGTGGTGCCAGAGAAGAGTCTGGTGCGACAGGGAGCGACACTCACAAGGGGAGGCTACCGGAACTGACGCAGACACCTGACCAGCAGCAGCGACCTGAGGAGACGCAGTGGTCAGTGTGTAAAGATTCGACCCTGGCCGACGATTGAACGTGGCCAGGTGACGGCCAGTCTGTGCACACGTGCAGATCGCCACACGCTGCCATGCAGGGGTGAAGGTATTAACCCCCACATCCTGAAGGGCAGCGTTGCTCACCAAGTTCGTCAAGAACGAGGGGAGGTGGAGACCTAACAGTAAGCCAGACGGGACCGCCGTGCACGGAAGCACAGTGGAGGACCGTGCAAGAACTGGGCCCCCTGAGGGGTCAGCCAGGCGGACTGGAACAGGTGCTGGGAGTGGTGTGAGTGCAGTACTGTCACGAAAGAAACAGCGGGAAGCATCTCAGTCAAACGTGAAGGTGTGCAAGGCCTCAGCAGGCGCAGTACCTGAGAGAGCAGACTCGCTTGCTCCTAAGGCAACACCTTCTATACCTGGGTCAGGCGGCATACACAGATAACAGTCACCATCAGCACTAACTTCCAATGCATACATAGCAGAGATAATAGCATCAAAGTCAAGAGCAAAAATGTCTACACCAGCCCGATACAGCTCATGCCAGCGAGGGCGGTCTAACTCCTCGCCCATCTCCTCACGCCAGGCGTCGTCAAGGCGGGAGAAGCAGCGGTACTGGGTGTGGAACTTGTTGCACGTCTGACCCTAACGGTCACCTGTGCGAATGACATAAGGGCAGCGACCACCACCCCCAGACTTCCCACGCTGAGCAAGCCACTCACGAAGCTGCTGGGATGTCTGGGGACGCTGCTGCTGCTGCTGGCTCTGGCCAGCGCCAGTGCCTCCACCCTGACCGCCACCGTTGCCGCCACCACCGCCCCGGACGCCACCGCTGCCGCCACCGCCGCTGCCACCCCCTCCGCCTCCACTGCCTCCGCTGCCACTGCCACTCCCGCCAGCACTCCCACCACCAGCCCCTCCGCCACCTCCTCCTCCTCCACCTCCTCCACCACCATCCCCCCCGTTGCCACCTCCACTACCCTTGGCTCCCTTGCCCTTGCCGTTGCGGCGCCTCCCACTAGGAGCAGAAGCAGCACCAGCAGACTCAGCACCAAGGAAGTCAACAGCAGCAGCAGTAGCGAAGGAGGGGGCGAGGGGAGAGGGAGAGCACCACGAGCAGCAGCTACAGCGACTATAATCTTCTCTGCTGCAAGGAGTTGCTCCTCTAGGAGGTCGACAGTGAGCTCGGTGGGACAGCGAGCGAGAAAGTGGTCCCTGACCGAGCTAAGCGAGTCAGGGAGACGGGTGACTATGAAGTGGAGGGTCCAGTACATCGGAGGCGGGTTCTTAGCACAAAACTCTTTGGGGAGGGCGGCGCGAAGGCGAGTGTCACTAGTGCGAAGGTGGGTGATGAGATCGGCAACGGTGGGAAATGTGGACAACTCAGGAAACAGGTACGGCAGCATGAGGCGGCTAAGCTCAGCAGTGGCAGGGGAGGAGTATCGAGCAACTACAGCGTCGTACAGGGCCTTAGCGGTTTTGTGCTCGCCAAAATGCTTGAGTTCGGCTAGCGGTAGGTGGTTGCGAATGGCTAGGCGGGCAGCAGCGTCACGAGTCTGCCACTGGGAACGGACGCTAAGCTCAGCTGCAGCAGCAAGGGCGACGGATGCACCAGACGTGTGGTCGAAAAGCGAAACATTGTCTTTGCTATCGCTTATTAAGAACAGGTGCAGATCATCTAGCCAGGGTTCGAACTCAATCGGGCGGCCCTCAGCATCGAACGAGAGAACGCGGAGGGTGGCCATAGCTGCCGGCGCAAGACTAGCAGGCAGAGCAATGGAAGGCAAGAAGCAGGAGCGGCGCGCTAGAGCGTAGCAGGCAGCCGCGGCAGAGGCAGGCGGTGCACGGGGCTACAGGCGGCCGGCAGGGCTGCAGGGCAGGCCGCGCGCAGGGTGTGGCGGGCGGCTGCGGCAGCAGTGAGGGCGGCGCACGGGGCTGCAGGGCAGCGTGACGGGCGGCGCGCGGGTGCAGGAGGCAGCCGCGTTAGCAGGGCGGGCGGCGCACTGGGCTGCGGGGGAGCGCAACGGGCGGCGCGCAGGCGCAGCACGCAGGCGCGGCAGCAGGGCGGGCGGCGCACGGGGCTGCGGGGCACGGCGACGGGCGGCGAGTGGGTGCAGCAAACAGCCGCGGCAGTAGGGAGGGCGGCGTGCGGGGCTGCGGGGCTGCGCGACGGGGCTCGCGGGCTGCTAGCGGGCAGCGCGCGGGCCTACAGAGGCTGTGCATGGGCTACGCGGGCGGCGGGCGGGTCGCGCGGGCTGCTAGCGGGTGGCGCGCTGGCCAGCAGAGGCGACGCGAGGGCTGCTAGTGGGTGGCGCGCTGGCCAGCAGAGGCGACGCGCACGGCTGAGCGACGTAGGGTAGGGCGCGGGGTAGGGTGGTAACCGGCGGACTAGGTGCCTGATGTAGTCATTCTGTCATTGCTTGTTCATTTTTTTCTATAATTCCAACTTTGCTTGTGGAAACTCTTGCCGATTTCTCTCGTGAATGTGCAAGCACTAAGGAACCAAGCAAAGCTACGATCACTCCTAGTAGTTCGTGCCAACCCCCGTAGTCTAGCTCACTACCGTTGTAGAGTGACTCTTCTCAAAAGTTACCCCAATGCATCAGTGTGGCCTATTGCGCTGCACTGACATATCAGTGTAATAGTAATCTTCCAAAAAATTATGCAAACACATCAGTGTAAGCCCAAAATTTCACCCTTATAATTAGTGTAGAATGTCAGAGGTCCACTGGGGATCCCCGATTGATCCTAGGGAAGGGTTACAGGCACGTTGGCCTGGGGGGTTATGGGCGCACTCACCCGCCACACAAACAAGCCCTTTTATCCCAGTGGTTAATGGCTGGGATTCTGACATGGTATCAGAGCAAAGGTCTCGGGTTCGAATCCCGGTGTATGCACCTCGGGCATCCCAGTGCGGGGGGGTGTCAGAGGTCCACTGGGGATCCCCGATTGATCCTAGGGAAGGGTTACAAGCACGTTGGCCTGGGGGGTTATGGGCGCACTCACCCGCCACACAAACAAGCCCTTTTATCCCAGTGGTTAGTGGTTGGGATTCTGACATAGAAGGATAAATTACACTGATAACGAGAGCCTTGCTAGCCATGTACTTTGAGGGGTACATTCCCTTATTAACTGTATTGCATAGCTACAGTAACCAACTGCGACTACTGCCTCTCGACAGTAACCAGGGCTCTCGTTATCAGTGTAATTTACCCTTCTATACTGATTGTTGGAAACAATAAGTCGCTAGAGCGCAGCGGAAGCTCTAGGAAGATAACGACGTCCCTGCAGCGGGGCAATGGTCACTCAGAGGTAGCTCTCCTGGCTTGTAACTTGGTGCCAAAGCGGCGGCCGAGGGTAGGCCGGACACAAGCTTGGGAATTGTGTAATAAGAGACATGCAATACATTCAATTATATAGGAAACACACGAGGCAGGCAGTTGCCAAGGCGCAACTGCTGTAACGATTCAGTTGCCCTGTTACAGTCGCGCTGGCGCGACTGTTCAGCTTCGGCAAGGGCGCGGTATTCAGCCGCGCCCTGCAGGACGGTTTCACGTACTGTAGATGCTGCCTCCTGCTGTCGATTCGACTCTGATCTGCCCCGCGGGTCGCAACCGCTATGCTCGGTTGCGCCCCGTTGACTCGCCACCAGGTTCAAAAACCTCGCTATGGCGAGCCCCTGTAAGCACACTTCGAACAGTGCACTTATAATAAAAGCATACAAACATATTCTCAACACTGATTAGAAGGGTGAAATTTTGGGCTTACACTGATGTGTTTGCGTAATTTTTTGGAGTATTAGTAATACACTGATATGTAGGTAAAAATTACCAACTACCGTAACCACGTGTTGTAATTTTCGTCTGTCGACGCTGAATTGGCAGAGCGCAGCTAAAAGTAGTTAGGTAAACGTTCTTGTGCGAACGTTCTTTACTTGGTTGAATGTTTTTCACCCCTCGTTGTGTTATATTTTCATTCTTTCTAGTGTATCTCTTTTGTCTCCAAACTCTGGTCCTTCAACACGAACTCCTTAGGGCGCATTCCTGAGTGGACACTTGTGTCTCAATTGCTTTGTGACACTCAAAAACAGCATAGACTGTATTGTGTCACAAATGCGAGTCGCGTTTCAGCGACCGGTACTGTATTTTTAATTGGTCAGCGTGAAACGCGCGGATGTCGCTGACGAATTGCACTTTGACCCTGTCAGTTCAAAAATCTCGCACGCAACTCGAAATGCCCGAACGATCACATGCACTTGGACACTCCACAATGCCAATTTCGGGAGGGAAAATTTCGCACGCATCGAAATCGCACTCCCATTCGCCTGGTCACCCAAGTCACCCAATCAAATTCGCAAAAGTGTACATTTCGCACTGTCGCCTAGTGTCGCGATACACTGAGTGTTTGTGACGCGAGGTTGGCAAAATGTGTGGACGCGACTCGGGAAAACGGGCATTGAGACACTTTTGTCCACACAGGAATGCAACCCTACACGACTAGAAGCATTCCGTAGAAGCTCCCGTTAGAGCAGAAATCTCTGCAGATCCCACTTCTATTCCACACACGCTGCTGGGCTGGGCAGCAACGGGAAGAGAGGGGACGAGAGAGGGAGGAGATTTTGCTGGTTCTTGCGACCGCCTTTCTCTCCACTTGACGCGCCACCGAGAGAGTTTGGGAAAAAAAAAGGATGGCGGTGCTACTCCACTCATCCGCGCTCCGCCTTTCCGCTGTCGCCTCGACACCCTTCGGCGCACCCGCGACTCCGATGGCACTTTCGACACCCGTCGCACACTCGACTCTCGTCGCACGCTCGACCCCCGTCGCACTCTCGCGTTTGTCGCGACCGACCAAGTCGACGGCTTTAGGAGCCCTGCCACGTCACCCCTCACACGGCACTATTAGCGCTTTTTCCAGCGGAAGGGTATGGCGCTTTGGGTGGAACCGCGATCCGCGAAAAGAGATCGCTTCAAGCATTCTTGCCTCCCGCCGATCGAGTTTATTTTTCATTGGTTTACATACCGGGTCATTGGCTCTTAATCTCCGCAATTCCAGGAGACGATCTGGCCGATCATCCCTCGTTAGTGTCACACGCGCGGCGCGCAATGACGAGTCTAGAGTCACAGGCGGCGCGGCTACCGCGGCTCGCGGAAGCGGCGGAAGCAGCAGCGTAACGACGGACCTGCGGCGCGACGCGAAATCCGACTTAAGGAGCGACGCGCAGAGCGGCCGTAGCGGCCGGAGCGGCGGCTACAGTCGTCCGCGCGACGGCGAGTGGGAGCGCGACAAGAAGGGCCGCGGGGGGCAGTGGCGGCTGCGGCGGCTACACGGGGAAGGGGGGAAGGGGAAGGCGGACGCGGGGGGGAAGGGGAAGACGGGCGCGGGAAAGACGGCTGCCGTCCCTGCTGCTGCTACAGCCGCCCCTGCTGCTACAACCGTCCCTGCTGCTCCTGCTCCTCCTGCTGCTGCGCCCTTTCCTAAGCAGTCCCTCCCTGTTTCCGCTTCCGCCCCTGCCTCCGCACCTGTCCCCGCCTCCGCAACTGTCCCCGCCTCCGCGCCTGTCCCCGCCTCCGCCCCTGTATCCGCTTTCCCCCCGGCCTCCGCCTCCGCCCCTGTTTCCGCTTCCACGCCTGTCTCCGCCTCCGCCTCCGCCCGTGCCCCTGTCCCTCCCTCTGACTCGATCCCTCTCAACTCCTCCATCCTTCCTCCTGCTTCGACTGAGGCCATTCAGGAAGCTTCCTCCAGTACGCCTGTCTCTGCTCCTGCAGAACCCTCCGAAGCTTCCTCTGTCTCGGTGGGTCAAGGGAGTCAACGCAGTCAAGAGGTGCCACGTGGCGAAGGGTTTGTGGCTGAGGTCGCGACACCGGCAGGAGGAGTTGCTGGGCCGAGGGGGGGCGAGATCTGGAATTCCCAGTTGCCAGCTGGCGGGTGGCTGTGGGCGGCTGGTTTTGTCGTTACTGCTGCTACAGTGGCGTGGATCGGAGGACGAGAGGGCGGCAAGAAAGAGAAAAAGAAAGAGGGGTTGCAGGAGCAGGGGAAAGGGCTTGTAACGAGTAAGGAGGCTGGTAATAAGGAGGATGGAATAAGTTGGAAGGATTGGGAGAGGAAGAAGATGAAAGAGAAGAAAGTGGAAGGGTGGAGAAGGAGGGCCGAGCAAGAGAGGGTAGAGCGAGAGAGAGCAGAGAGAATCAAGGGGAAGTGGGCGGGAGGGGAGGCGGTTGAGAGTGGTGGAGAGGAGTTGGGAGGGATTGGCGGGAGCGAGGTGAGGGATTGGGAGGACGGGAGGGGAAGGGGAGAGGCAGGGTTCGGGGTTTATGAGGGAGAGGGAAGGGAGGAGAGGGGGTTTAACGGGAAGGTGAATGGGGTGGCTGGGGGGGAGAGAGGCGGGGAAGTGGATGTTCTTGTAGGGGGGGATTGGGAGGGCGTGGGGAGTGGGGGAAGGGGGGAGGGGGCGTGGGGGGACGAGAGAGGGGGTGCTGTGGTGGATATTAGCGCAGAGGTGAGGGAGAGGAGGGAGGAGAGGGAGGAAGAGGAAGGGGAGAAGGGAGCGGAGGGAGAGAAGGGAGTGGAGAGGAAGAAGGGGGGACAGGGTGAGGAGGGGATGAAGGGAGGACAGGGGGAGGAGCAGCAGGAGGAGCAGCAGGAGGAGGATACAGAGGAGCTTAGGCGACAGGCAGCAATGGCTGATATCCGCAGGAGTGCAGACTTAGTGAGGCGGCAGGAGCGGGAGGAGAGGGAGGAGAAGGAACGAGCGCGGAAGGTGAGTGCTGAGATGCAGAGATTGCTTGTGGAGAGAAGGAGGCGCGGCGAGGTGGTGACGCAGCAGGTGTTGGATGCGGTGTGGGAGGAGGCATGTGCGGTTGTGCTGGGTGGGAAGGTGGGAGGAGGGGGAGGGGGTGCGGGGTTTAGTGCGGCGGCTGGGGAAGGTGCAGCAGCAGCGGCAGCGGCGGCAGGGGCAGGGATAGCAGGAAGGGCCGCAGCAGGGGGAGTAGCAGCGGCAACAGAACTGGGAAGAGCTTCAGAAGCAGCAGCAGCAAGTGGCGTGAGCAGCAGTGGCAGCAGTGGCGTGAGCAAGAGTCAGGGAAGAGCAAGAGCACATATAATTACCTCTCTCCCTTCTTCCCCTCCTGCCGCTGCTCCTCCCGCTGCCGCTGCTGCTGCCGCCGCTGCCTCTGCTACTCCTTCTGCTGTTGCTGCTACTGCTGGTGATACACCAGCCACAGCAGGGGCAACAACAGCAGGGGCAACAACAACAGGGGCAGGAGCAGGGACAGAGGCAGCAGCAGCAGCAGCAGCAGCGGCAGAAGGAGCAGGCGAGGGCAGGAGGAGGCGCAGAGTGCGAGTAATCACATCGCTGCCGAGAGGCACTGTAGCGAGTGACACTGAAGAGGGCGCCACCACTGTAACGGGTGACACTGTAACGAGTCCAGCTGTAGCAGGAAGCACCTCTGCTGACAAGACGGGGGCAGCAGCGGCAGCAGCAGCAGCAGGAGAAGGAGCTTTGGGAGAAAAGGACATGGGGCAGAGGGGATCAGAGGAGCAGCAACTAGAGGAGGTGAGGAGAGAAGGCGATGGGCAGAGGGCGGATGAGGGACCAGGCAGGCAGCAGCAGGTGCAGGCAGAGAGGCAGCAGTGGGAGTTGGAGGATGCAAAGAGAAGGGTGAGGCAGCGAGCAGCGGCAGCTGCAGCTGCTGCCGGCGCTGCCGGTGCTGCCAGCGCTGCCGGTGCTGTCGGCGCTGCCGGCGCTGCCGGTGCTGCCGGTGCTGCCGGTGCTGCTGGTGCTGCTGGTGCTGCTGGTGCGTCTAGGGGTGGTGGGGCTGCTGCTGGTTGGGCTGCGTGGTGGGTGAATGACGATAGGCTGGTGACCCTGGTAGCGCGGGTGATGCTGAACGATGAAGGCGGGAGGGACTCGATGCACGGGCTGACTCAGGAGGAGCAGGAGAGGTTCTTTGATGCGCTCAACAGGCTGTATGGGCCGGATACTAATGGGGACGGCTATGAGGAGGACGGAGTTTCTGAGCTTGTGGAGAATCTGAACTACGGCCGAGGTGAGTGCGTGCGTGCCCTGTGAAGTGAGCGTGAAGTGAGCGTGAATGCTGTGTCGCATTGAGATTGGGGGAGGCGGGGCTGCGTGGTGCGTGGAAGATTATGTGCTGGTGAGTTTGAGGCGCCTCAAAAGATTAAGTGCTGGTGAGTTTGAGACGCCTCAAAAGATTAAGTGCTGGTGAGTTTGAGGCGCCTCAAAAGATTAAGTGCTGGTGAGTGTGTTGGCGCGGGTGATGTTGAACGATGAAGGCGGGAGGGACTCGATGCACGGGCTGACGCAGGAGGAGCAGGAGAGGTTCTTTGACGCGCTTAACAAGCTGTATGGGGAGGATACTGACGGGTAAGGGGACGGCTATATGGAGGACGGAGTGTCTTAGCTGGTGGAGAATCTGACCTATGGCCGAGGTGAGTGTCTGTGGAATGGACTGAGCATGTTGTGGTGTGCTGGTGGATCTAATAGTGCGGGTGATGCTGAACGATGAAGCCGTGAGGGACTCCATGCACGGGCTGACTAAGGAAGAGCAGCAGACGTTCTTTGCGTTGAACAGGCTGTTTGGGGAGGTTACGAACGGGAGTAAAGGAGGCGGCTCAAAAAAGTTTTAACTAAACAAAGCCACTGCCACGCAACGATATGCCTCCTAAGTGGGGTTCCATTAGGTTACGAACGGGAGTAAAGGAGGCGGCTATAACGAGGACAGAGTGTCTTAGCTGCCGCGGAGGTGAGTTCCCTGTGAAAGGTAACATGCTTGTGCTTGAAAGGTAACATGCTTGTGCTTGAAAGGTAACATGCTTGTGCTTGAAAGGTAACATGCTTGTGCTTGAAAGGTAACATGCTTGTGCTTGAAAGGTAACATGCTTGTGCTTGAAAGGTAACATGCTTGTGCTTGAAAGGTAACATGCTTGTGCTTGAAAGGTAACATGCTTGTGCTTGAAAGGTAACATGCTTGTGCTTGAAAGGTAACATGCTTGTGCTTGAAAGGTAACATGCTTGTGCTTGAAAGGTAACATGCTTGTGCTTGAAAGGTAACATGCTTGTGCTTGAAAGGTAACATGCTTGTGCTTGAAAGGTAACATGCTTGTGCTTGAAAGGTAACATGCTTGTGCTTGAAAGGTAACATGCTTGTGCTTGAAAGGTAACATGCTTGTGCTTGAAAGGTAACATGCTTGTGCTTGAAAGGTAACATGCTTGTGCTTGAAAGGTAACATGCTTGTGCTTGAAAGGTAACATGCTTGTGCTTGAAAGGTAACATGCTTGTGCTTGAAAGGTAACATGCTTGTGCTTGAAAGGTAACATGCTTGTGCTTGAAAGGTAACATGCTTGTGCTTGAAAGGTAACATGCTTGTGCTTGAAAGGTAACATGCTTGTGCTTGAAAGGTAACATGCTTGTGCTTGAAAGGTAACATGCTTGTGCTTGAAAGGTAACATGCTTGTGCTTGAAAGGTAACATGCTTGTGCTTGAAAGGTAACATGCTTGTGCTTGAAAGGTAACATGCTTGTGCTTGAAAGGTAACATGCTTGTGCTTGAAAGGTAACATGCTTGTGCTTGAAAGGTAACATGCTTGTGCTTGAAAGGTAACATGCTTGTGCTTGAAAGGTAACATGCTTGTGCTTGAAAGGTAACATGCTTGTGCTTGAAAGGTAACATGCTTGTGCTTGAAAGGTAACATGCTTGTGCTTGAAAGGTAACATGCTTGTGCTTGAAAGGTAACATGAGACGGGGCGCTGTCTCTCTTGTTTCATTTCGGTGAGCGATCCCATGGATATGGTGGTGCCAAGGTTGAGGAACGCAGGATTGGGGGGAGAGAAAGAGGTGGCTGGTGTGTAGCATGTTCACCCAATTTTCCACTGCCACTCTCCTCGTTCCCTTTCCCCCGCAGACGGCATTTCGGTGAGCGATCCCATGGATATGGTGGTGCCGCGGTTGCGAGGACTGGGTGAGGGGGAAAAGAAGATGTTTGTGTCATTGTATTTGAAAAGTTTCATCATCGCCCGTCACCCTCTTGTTCTTGCAGACGGCATTTCGGTGAGCGATCCAATGGATATGGTGGTGCCGCGGATGAGAGGAGAGAGGGGGGATGAGAGAAAGGAGAGCAGCAAGGGGACCATGCCTGCACCAGCATCAGCATCAGCAGCGCCTGCAGGCAGCGGCACTGCTTCAGGTGTTAACGGCACTGCAGCAGCCAACGCCCCTAAATCAACCGATGGCAGTGGTAGTGGTAGTGGTAGTGGTAGTACTGACGAGCTGCTAGTGCAGGCTTTTGAGTCGACTCAAAAATCAACCGATGGCAGTGGTAGTGGTAGTGGCAGTGGCAGTGGTAGTGGTAGTGGTGGTACTGACGAGCTGTTAGTGCAGGCGGTTTCACAGTACGTGAACGCTTCTGATGCAGGCACGTTCATTGATGATGGGGGTGCGGCAGAGAGCGAGCGTACGGCTGTGGGTGGTGAGAGTGGGGGAGGGGAGGGAGGAGAGGGTGTGGTGGTTAGTAGTGGGAGTGGGGGAGGGGAGGCGGGAGAGAGTGTGGTGGTGAGTGGTGGGAGTGTGGGAGGGGAAAAGGGAGAGAGTGTGGTGGTGAGCTCTAGTAAAGGCATGATGGGCCGACAGACCTGGTCCCTGGAGGAAACACAGGGAGGGAGGGCAGGCAGAGCGGTGGGGAGCGGTGACGAGGGATGGAGCAACACAAAGCAGTGGGCGGAGGATATTAGAGCAAGGTATGAAGACGAGAGGGACCCAGATGTGAGGGAGGTGATTCAGCAGCTAGGCAAAGACCTCCCAAGATGGCTCTCAGAAGAAGAAATTAATTCTGCCCCGACTCTCTCACAGGTTGTAGCGGCAGGGAGGGACGGAGGCGATCCGAAGCAGCGGGCAGCGGTGAAAAGTTTTCTAGAGAAGGTTCGGGAGGAGAAGGAGAGGTTTGGGGCGGAAGCTGTGGCGGAGAAGTATTTGGAGCAGGCTCGGGATGCGGAGGAGGAGGAGGCTCGGCGGAGGGGGGTGGTTCGGCCAGACCTGGACCGGCTGTGGTGGCTTGACCTGCAGGCAGTGTGGGTGAGTGGATGCATTTGATCAGATTTTATTGGTTCCTTCCAGATTTTATTGGTTCCTTCCAGATTTTATTGGTTCCGTTCATATTTGATTGGTATTTGGTCGTGCATTCATATCCCTATCCCATCCAAATTCTCAAAAGCTGTTCAATACTCCTCAAATTCTTAAAACCCCACGTTTTGATTCTCCTCTTTAACCTGTATGTTTTGCCTTCCTCCTTGTCTTACACATATGTGTATGTGTATATGCTTATATATTGACGTATATACATATATTACTTCCATAACGTGATGATATTGCGCTGGAGCAGCAGCAGCAGCAGCAGCATAATGTCAAAGGCGGTGAGGGGAAGAGAGTGCACTACAGGTCGTTTTTGAGGCGCCTCAAAAGCGAGTGCCGAGAGTGCACTACTCCTTCCAGCTCCCCCCTGACTGTCTGCTTGTTTCTTTTCTCCTCCTCCCTCGGGTTGTGATGGAGCAGCAGCAGCAGGGGCAGCGAGGGGCAGAGAGTGCAGAGGGTACCATACTCCTTCGAGCTCCCCCCTGACTGGGGCTCTGCCACTGCCTACTCTGCTGAGTTTTTGCTTGTTCTTTTGCTTCTCTTTCTTGCCTTTCCAGGTTGTGATGATCATGCGTTGGAGCAGCAGCACCGAGGGGCAGTGAGGGGCAGCGAGTGCAGAGGGTGCCTTACTCCTCCCAGCTCCCCCTTGACTCTGTGTGTGTGTGTGTGTGTTTGTGTGTGTGTGTTTGTTCGTTTGTTTTCTCCTCCTCCATCAGGTTGTGATGAGAATGCGTTGGAGCAGCAGCAGCAGCAGCACCGAGGGGCAGAGAGTACAGAGGGTGCCTTACCCCTCCCAGCTCCCCCTTGACTCTGTGTGTGTGTGTGTGTCTTTGTTTCTTTCTTTTCTCCTCCTCCATCAGGTTGTGATGATCATGAGATGGAGCAGCAGCAGCGGCAGCAGCAACGGGCAGAGGGTGCAGAGGGTGCCGTACTCCTTCCGGCTCCCCTCTGACTGTGTGTTTGTTTGTTTGTTTCTTTTCTCCTCTTTTTTCAGGTCGTCATGATAATGCGTTGGAGCAGCAGTAGTGGCAGTCAGGGGCAGAGAGTGCAGAGGGTGCCATACTCCTTCCAGCTCCCCCCTGATTGGGGTTCTGCTGCTGCTTACTCTGCTGAGGGTGTTTATAACGGGGATACTGGAGCAGCAGAGGATGCGTGGATAGTGGTGGGGTTTGAAGACGTGGTGGATGCAGCGCGGTTCAGTGAGGTGCTGAGGGTGTGGCTGCTGGCACACCCAGAGGAGCTGGAAGGAGGGGAGGAAGAGGGGGAGGAGGATGAGAAGGAGGCGGCTGCTGGTGTGGCTGTGGAAGTGAAAGCAGTGCCGTGTGCTCCCAAGGTGAGTATTTTCTACTGGTGAGGAAGGAGAGGAAGAGGAGGAATAAGAAGAAGTGGGGGAAGAGGGGGAGTGGGATGCAGGGGGGGCGGCTGCTGGTGTGGCTGGCTGTGGAGGTGAAAGCAGTGCCATGTGCTCCCAAGGTGAGATTGAGTTTCTCTTCATTTGTCTTTCCGATTTCGTCCACACCACACGTGACATGACAAAGGTCGGTTCAGTGTGGTGCTGAGGGTGTGGCTGCTGGCGCACCCAGAGGAGCTGGACGGGGAGGAAGAAGGGGGGTGATGAGGAGGAGGAACATGAAGCGACTGCTGGTGTGGCTGTGGAAGTGCCAAGTTGGGTGTGTCGTTTGCTGTTTGAGATGTCTCAAATTGCAAAAGCGGTTCAATGCGGTGCTGCGGGCGGGCAGGGCTGTTGTTGCACCCATGATCCACTTTCACTTACTTTCACCTTTCTCCCCCCTCACTCTTGTACGATTCCAATTCCCATTCGTCTCCCGTCCATCTCGGGAGCTCTATTCAAGTGCCAAGGAAGCATGCCATCGCATTCTCGTGATGCAGCGGCAGCAGCTGCAGCTGACAGCAATTAACCAGCCTTGAGTGGCCTCCCTCCCTCCTTCCATCCATGTTGAAGTCCCCTGTGTCTCCTCTACTATCTTATAGTCCCGCCTATCCCCTCTGCCCACCTCAGGAGCTCTACTCGAGCGCCAAGGAGGCAGGCCATCGAATTCTCGTGGTGCAGCGGCAGCAGCTGCAATTGGCTATTGACAAGCCTTCACCTGACGCCCTTCCGTCCCTCCCATGTTTCCCTCTCTCTGCCTGTCTGCCCACCTCAGGAGCTCTACTCGAGTGCCAAGGAGGCAGGCCATCGAATTCTCGTGGTGCAGAGGCAGCAGCTGCAGCTCACAGCAATTGACGAGCCTTTCCCGGACGTGCTGGCTCGGCTGTGCGATGCTGCTGCTGCTGGGGAGGACAAGAGGCGGGGGACCCGAGGGCCAGCGACTGTGGATTTGGGACCGTTGATCGCTCGCGCTGGGCAGAGGGGTGGAGAATGGAGGTAGAGAGTGGGTTGATGGGTGGGAGGTATGATTGGATGAGTGGTGGTGGTGGTGCTGCTGCTGCTGCTGCTGCTGGGGAGGATAAGAGGAAGAGGACCCGAGGGCCGGCCACAGTTGATTTGGGACCGTTGATCGCTCGTGCGGGGAAGAGGGGTGGGGAATGGGGGTCAAGAGTGGGGTGATGGGTGGTAAGATAGGGTGTGGTGGTGGTGCTGCTGGGGAGGATAAGAAGGGAGGGGAACAATTGGTCCATCCACTGTTGATCGCTGGTGTGGGGAAGAGGAGAGGAGGATGGAGGTTGAGTGTGGTTGGGGGGGGGGGGGGGGAAGGTTCGGTGAGTGGTGGTGGTGGTGCTGCTGCTGCTGCTGCTGCTGCTGAGGAGAATAATGGGGACCGGAGGCACCGGAGGGCCCGCCACAGTAGGTTTGGGACCGGTATCGCCCGTTCAGGCAAGAGGGGTGGAAAATGGAGGTAGAAATGGGAACGATGGGAGGTGAGGTTGGGTGGGTGGTGGTGGTGGCTGTTAGGGAGGATGAGTAGGGGGCGGGGAAGGAAGATGGGTGGGATGGGAACGTTATTAGTCGACTGTTAGGATGAATTAGCAGGTCGTTCTTATGGGCGTGAATCTATGGTAGGATGTCTTGACGAGTCTTCTGCTAGTGCGACTGTCAAAGCTATTCCAGAAACCCTTTTCTAGCATTAATCTCGGATGTTTCTGTTGATCATATTCTAAAATAGCTGCGTGTCACTTTCACTGTTCTGGTACACGACAATCAGATTTGCACGGCCTGAACCAGAATTCCAATATCGAACATCGCCATCCAACCAACCTAATCCCACCTGTGCTTCGGTGTTCCCGAGGGGTACACGCACGGCGAAGCCAGGTTCTGCGGCCTTGAGATTGTTATCTCCAGTTACCTCTAGGTACAAACTCTTTTATCTCGGTTCTCCAGACCCTCACATCTCCGATAGTGAGATGCACAGAATGGATACTCCCCCCCCTCCCTTGTCTCCACTCTACTCCACTCCATTCCACTCCACTCCACCCCACCCCACTCCATCCTCTCTCCGTCAGTCTTGGCATGGGATCACTGATTTCTTCAGTGCACATTACGAGGAAGACCCACCAATCTGGTTTGATTTGATCACTGGACAATGGCTGCTGGCCCATGATGATAGCATGCCAACTGAGCGCGAGCGTCGGGGTTAGCGAGCCGCAGTTAGCGTAATTATCTTCCAATTGACTGCACTTGCCGTTTAGATGTTTTATGCTAGTTGTTTTCCCGTCTTACATCCGTTGTTTAGCCTTCTTGAATAACGTGCCCTGCGAACCGAGCTGGTTGGGAGGGACACGTCTGCAGTTTCTAAGCACCCAGGAAATTTATATAGTAAATCCTCGTTATAGCCACACACCGCCTGCTTGAAATTCGTTAAGAGTCGTCGCCAGCCATGAGAGGCCTTCGCCGGCAAGTCGCGCACGGGCCGACGACGCGGGCGATCATAATCCTCGTTATTGGTCTCTGCATTATCAGCTTTTGCTCCCGCCCACGCGAGCATTACCGACGCCTGCATGCCATCGGAAGGTGCGCGATCACTCGACTGGACGGCTAGACGGTAGAAGTTTAGTGCGGCTAGACGGCTAGACGGCCAGATGCCCAATGCGGCCAGACGGCTTGACGAATAGCGTGACCAGACGGCTAGCAGCTAGACGGCTGGTGTTGCTAGACGGCTAGACGGCTATCAGTGCGGCTAGGTATGCCTGGGAAGGCAAGACGGAGTGGCAAAAGGCTTGTGCTCGAATCTAGTGACACATGGTCGGCCAAAATTGTCGATGCTATTGACAGGTGGTCGGCGAAGTTTGTCCCTATTCGCTGTTCTATCAGTTCAGTATTCCTTGTTCATTCTCTTCAACTGAACCGTATGGGCGTCCCTGTAGTTGTGTAGTGGGTTGGAATTGACATTCGGTATAAGTAGATCCGCTATTAGTCCGCGTCATGTAAATTCGATAGGATTGCAGGTTCTGAACGTCTTACTTTGGACCGCAATTTCCTTCTCCCCGGAACCTCGCCCGTCTCTCCTCCCACCTCCTCCACCCCTGTTCCCCTAGCGTGGCTCGTTTGACGACGTCTGTCTGTCGCGAGGCACACGAAGTGACTTCTCAGTTGACTCAAAAGTCACCCCTTACACATCTCCCCTCTCCTCTCACCTCGCCCTTCTCTGTTCCCCAGGCGCGGCTCGTTTGACGACGTCTGTCTGTAGCGAGGCACACGAAGTGACTTCTCAGTTGACTCAAAAGTCACCCCTTACACATCTCCCCTCTCCTCTCACCTCGCCCTTCCCTGTTCCCCAGGCGCGGCTCGTTTGACGACGTCCGTCTGTTGCGAGGCTCCCATGCGGACACTAGCAGCAGCAGGGGAAGCAGCAATGCACGAGGGGAAGGAGTAAAGGAAACGAGAGGAGGAGATGAGGGTGGTAGAGGAGAGGGGGCGAAAGGCGGGCGGGAAAATGTGATTCACGTGATGCTGACTAGTAACGGGTCGCCTTATATGAACTGGCAATCGCGGATCATGTACTACACGTATCTGCAGGTTAGTGAGTGGCTTGTTAGGCGGTTGAAGGTTATATAACGGGTCTCCTTGTAAAAGGACTGGCAATCGGGGATCATCTACTACACATATCAGCAGGAATGCAATGCACCCATCAGACAGGCAAACATGAGGTGACTTTTGAGTCGCCTCAAAAGCAGAGTCATGCACTACACGTATCTGCGGGAATTCATAAATCAGACAGGCAAACATGTTTCTAAAACCGTGTCTATTCCCTTCTCTGGCATTGTCCTGTCAGGTGGCGGGTCAGCCCGGCAGTGACATGAAGCACTTCACTCGCGTGCTGCACCGGTCAACAGACGACGCTCTGATGGATGTGATGCCCACGGTAAGATGGGGGGGAAAGGGCGGAGGGGAGGGGGTGGGGGGGGAGGTGTTAAGTATGATATACACAGTAGCATGGGGAGGGGGGAGATGAAGCACTTCACTCGCGTGCTGCACCGGTCGACAGACGACGCGCTGATGGATGTGATCCCCGCGGTAAGATGGAGGTGGGCTGGGAACGCCTGGCATGTGCTGCATGTGGCAACAGACGACGCGCTTATGGATGTCATGCCCACGGTAGGATAGGATGGAAGGGCGTGCATGGCATGTGCTGCATGTGCTGCATGTGCTGCATGTGCTGCATGTGCTGCATGTGCTGCATGTGCTGCATGTGCTGCATGTGCTGCACTGGTCAACAGACGACGCTCTGATGGATGTGGTGCCCACGGTATGGTAGTGTGGCTGGGGGAGGGTGGGGAGGAGGGTGGGGAGGAGGGTGGGGAGGAGGGTGGGGAGGAGGGGGGAGGGTGGGGAGGAGGGTGGGGAGGAGGGTGGGGAGGAGGGGGGGAGGAGGGTGGGGAGGAGGGGGGGAGGGGGGGGGGGAGGGGGAGTGTGAAACATTTGCAGCCTCCAACCAAGCCTCATCTAAATCCTTCGATCCTCGCATGTGACACATGGTGCGAGGTGTGCTGTTGCAAGCCGTCCCTTGTCACTCCATCCTGTACCCGCTTCCTTGCTCTCTTTCCATTCCATCGCTCCATTCCTTCCTCAGGCCCGAGTGAAGCCTCTAGGCCCCACATGTGTCACGTGGTGCCTGTACCCCCTGGCAAGTCTTCCCCTTCTCACTCCATCCTCTACCTCCTTACCTTTCCTTTCTCCCCTCCCCCAGGTCCGGGTGAAGCCTCTAGACCCCACGTGTGACATGTAGTGTGAGTACCCCGTGGCAAGCCCTCCAATTGCTGCCCTACTCTCTCCATTCTCTACCTGCTTCGCTTGTCTCTCCATTCCCTAACCCAGGTCAGAGTGAAGCCTCTAGACCCCTCGTGTGACACGTGGTGCGAGTATCCTGTGGCAAGCCGTCCCTTTGCCATCCAGCAGTGGCTGGAGTCGGGAGATGTGAAGGGCGACTGGATCTTCATGATTGAAACCGACTATATCTTTGTCAAGTGAGGCTATAGCGGGGATGGCAAATCTGAGCCACTGTTCTCATGGTTGAGAGACGGACTGCATCTTTGTCAATTGAGCTTATAGAGGGGATGTAGATTGCACACCACGAATATTATTGTCAAGCCAATGATCCTTGCGCCCCCCCCCCTCCTCCTCCTCCACCTCCCCCTCCCCCTCCCCCTCCCCCCCTTCCCCTCCCCCTCTCCCTCCCCATCTACCTTCGCCCCCCATCCCCTCCCTTCCCCCCTCCCGTGGTTATTCCCTTAGCATGCAGGGCATGCCTCAGCGTTTCCCTTGGTCGATTCTCTCAACCCCTCCCCCCTCCCCTCTCTCTCCCTGCCTCCTCCCTCCCCTCCCCCCTTCCCTCTCCTCTCCCCTCTCCCCTCCCCTCTCCCCTCCCCTCCCCTCCCCCCTCCCCTCTCCACTCCCCTCTCCCCTCCCCTCTCCCCTCCCCTCTCTCTCCCTGCCTTCTCCTCCTCGAGCCCAACCCCCCGTCCTTTCCCCAGGCCCGTCACCATCCCCCCTGCAGGCAGGGCGCTGGGGTTCCCCTTCGACTACATTGCACCGCAAGACCCTGAACTTCTGCCAATCCATTGTTTCCCTTCCTATCCGCCTATCCTCCACTTCCCCTTACTCTTTTTCTCCTCTGCAGGCCCGTCACCATCCCCCCTGCAGGCAGGGCGCTGGGGTTCCCCTTCGACTACATTGCACCGCAAGACCCTGAGCTCCGTCCCTTCATGCGCAGGCAAGTGTTGTAATGATTCTTTGTGTCTGGGTTTCTCTTTGTCCGTCCATTCAACCATCACATTTGCAGAACCATATCTCTCGTCATCTTAATCTCACCAGAACTCTTTTGAGACGTCTCAAAGTCAACCATCGCATTTGCAGAACCCTATCCTTCGTTACCTTAATCTCACCAGAACACTAGTTCACCCTGCACGCTCTGAGGTGACTTTTGAGTCGACTCAAAAGTCACCTTAATCTCACCAGAACACTAGTTCACCCTGCACGTTCTGAGGTGACTTTTGAGTCGACTCAAAAGTCACCTTAATCTCACCAGAACACTAGTTCACCCTGCACGTTCTGAGGTGACTTTTGAGTCGACTCAAAAGTCACCTTAATCTCACCAGAACACTAGTTCACCCTGCACGTTCTGTTATGCGTGTTATACGGATCATATGCTTTTGTTGTGCATAAGGCTTCATTTGCTCCTCCTCATGTATGTATGTAACGCTTGTTGCTCGCAGGTATTACCCAGAGCCTTACCGGATTGAGGACGTCCCACGGACCGGAAACGCCCCCACCATCATGCGATATGATGAGATGATGTGAGTGCTGCTGCTGGGTGTGAGTCCTTTCCTTTCACGTGTGCATAGTTCTTGAAACTCCTTGATTCACCCATGCCCCGAGGACTGGCAATGCCCCGACCCACCATCATGCGATATGATGAGATGATGTGAGTGCTGCCGCTGGGTGTGAGTCATTTCCTTTTACGTGTGCATAGTTCTTGACAATCCAAGATTCACGGTGAATCATTCACACATGTCCCGAGGGCTGGCAACGCCCCGGCCGACCATCATGCGATATGATGAGATGATGTAAGCTGCTGGATTCAGTCATGTTCATATTCGCATTGAGATTCGTCTTCATAGTCGTAGTAATGCGCATTTTCAGATTCGTTTTCATAGTCATCCTATGATTCATATTCATATTCACGTCATTTCAGCCTCAATAAAGATCATGTTTGTATTCGCATGCATGTTGACACTGCTCTCCTCCTCCCATCCATCCCAGGCGAGTTTTGCCCATATTGGTGAACATCACAGCAGCAGGCATTAAGGGGAACGCAGAGAGCAACTTACAGGCTTTCCCACTCTCTCCTCCTCTTTCTCTCACCTGCCTGCTTGCGTACCCCAGGCGAGTGGTGCCCATATGGGTGAACGTCACAGCAGCAGGCATTAAAGGGAATGCAGAGAGCAACTTACAGGCTTTCCCACTCTCCCCCCTCTTTCTCTCACCTGCCTGCCTGCGTACCCCAGGCGAGTAGTGCCCATATGGGTGAATGTCACAGCACGCATCGAAGGCAACGCGGAAAGCAAGGAGCGGTTCGGGTGAGTCAGTGGTTGGGTGGGTGGGGTGGGTGGGAGGCGTGGGAAAGGTTTCGGATGTATCTTTGGTTCTGATGTAGGTCTGGGTGAGTGAGTAGCTGGGTGGGCTGGCTGGGTGGGAGGCATGAGAGTTTTTTGGAAGTATCTGTGGTTCGGATTGGGAGAGGTTTGGGTGAGTGAGTGGGCAGGGCAGCAGATGGAGAGGATGTGTCATTGTCACACCCCTCCGTGTTTACTTTTGAGTCGACTCAGTTGACTTCTGAGTCGACTCAGTTGACTTTTGAGTTGACTCAGTTGACTTATGAGTCGACTCAGTTGACTTTTGAGTTGACTCAAAAGTCAATTCAGCAGATGGAGAGGATGTGTCATCGTCACACCCCTCCCTCTCCCTTCCCTAACCCCACCTCTCCTTTTTCCAACCATGACAGGTGGGTGCGGGAGATGTATGCCTTTTCCATTGCTGCTGCTCTTGGCAACATTCTCTTCTCTCCCCCATGTCTCCCTCCCTCCCACTCTCTCCGCTCCTTCCCCACACACCCACCCCCCTTTTGAACCATGACAGGTGGGTGCGGGAGATGTATGCCTTCTCCATCTCCGTTGCTCTTGCGGGTGTGAAGATTGACCTGCCGCCCATGCCCCACGCCATCATGAGCCAGGTGATGTGCGGTGGTGTGCGGTGATATGGATTGATGTGGGATGATATGGAGTGGCGTGGAATGATGTGCAGTAATTGAGTGGTGTTCGTTGGTGTGGGATGCGGTGATGTGGGTGGGCGGTACGCACTCAAGCACATGCCATCGCTAGTCAGCCAGGTGATGAGGTGTTATGCGGTGCCCACTGCTCGCCCCTCCCCTTCTTTTCTTCTCTCTCCAGACCTCACACCCCCCTCGGCCCTCCATCACCCACACCTCTCCACTGTCCATCCTTCCCCTCCCCTCCCTTTCCCCACTCACCTCCATTCCACCTGCAGCCTCCAGCCGACAAGGTGGTGGGCGACGCTGCTCTGCTGCACTACACGTGGGGCAGTCAGATCAAGGTGAGACTGGCTAGGTGGTGGGACGAGTTGTTAAGGTGATTAGGTGGGGGCGGTTATAGTAGGTAGTTGGGGTGAGATGTGTTACCTAGGTGGCTTCTGAGTCAAGTCAGAAGGCAAGATGGTGGGCGACGCTGCTCTGCTGCACTACACGTGGGGCAGTCAGATCAAGGTGAGACTGGCTAGGTGGTGGGACGAGTTATTAAGGTGATTAGGTGGGGGCGGTTATAGTAGGTAGTTGGGGTGAGATGTGTTACCTAGGTGGCTTCTGAGTCAAGTCAGAAGGCAAGATGGTGGGCGACGCTGCTCTGCTGCACTACACGTGGGGCAGTCAGATCAAGGTGGGGCGGAGCGATTTGAAAACGCACTTCCTCATGTTGAAGTATGGTAGTTCTTACAGAGGTGGAGAAGAGGCGTTAGACAGCGCGGGCTACAAAAAGCGGCGGGAAGAGAGCTTCGGCAAGCGCGAGCTGCAGCTGTGGCCCTGGTTTGGGAAAAAACTGTGTTGGAAGAGCAACTTCGGGCGAACCAAGAGCAGGAGAGTCTGGGGGTGCAGGAGGAGGGAGTGAGTGAGGGTCTGGAGAGACAAGAGGAGGAGAGAATGAGTGAGACTCACCATACTTACTCTCTCTTCCTCCTGTCCCCCCAGTCCCTCACTCACTCCCTCCTCCTGCACCCCCAGTCCTAGCTCCGGAACCTGCTCCTGGTTCCCCCGAAGCTGCTCTTCCAACACAGCTTTCTCCCAAACCAGGGTCACAGCTGCAGGACGCGCTTGCTGAAGCTCTCTTTCCGCTGCTTCTGTAGCCCGCTCTGCCTCATGCCTCCTCCCCTCCTCTGTAGAGAACATGTATATTGTGTTGAGTATGCATAAATAAGCCTTGCTTTCCCAAGCGTCCTTTCTCTCCTCGTATGGTCTTCTTCACTGGGAGTGTGAGTCGTGACAGACAAGGTCACGTTCCTGTCTCATGTCGCACACCCATCTGTCATGTGTCCCCCCCCCCCCAATGCAATAATTCAGGACTGGAGTGGCAACGTAATATGGGAATTTGACAAGCGCAAGTTCACAGACAGAGGGCTGCCCGACCCAGTACCTGAACCGCCAGAGGGAAAGGTGAGTCCTAGCTGAACTGTAATCTGTGCAAGTCTTTACTTGAATCCCACGTTTCACACCAGTTCACAGACAGAGGGCTGCCCGACCCAGTACCTGAACCGCCAGAGGGAAAGGTGAGTCCCACCCACCGGTGATGCACGCAAGTTTAAACGTGAGTCCCGCTCACCTGTGATGCACGCAAGTCTAAACGTGAGTCCCACGAGTCATGCAATTTCACTGACAGAGGACTGCCGGACCCAGTGCCAGATCCGCCAGACGGTAAGGTGAGAACCCGGTGGGAAAGATGAGCTTTACAAAAGCTGTCATCAGTTTCCAGACAGAGGGCTGCCCGACTGACCCAGTGCCTGAACCGTCAGAGGGCAAGGTGAGAACCCGGAGGGAAAGGTGGGCTTTTGGAAGGAAAGATGAGCTTTACAAAAGCTGTCATCATTTCAGCGACAGAGGGCTGCCAGATCACAGCCCTCTCTGTGCCTGAGCCGACTTTTGAGTCGACTCAAAAGTCACCTCGTTCAGCGACAGAGGGCTGCCAGCGAAGTCACAGCCCTCACTGTCCCTGAGCCCCCCGAGGGAAAGGTGAGTCGCTGTAGAGGAGGGTGAATTGTCGTCTCACTGTGAGTGTCACTGAGTGTCACTGTGAGTGTCACTGTGAGTGTCACTGTGAGTGTCACTGGGAGTGTTGTGCGTCACACCAGTTGGTAGGGAAGGTGAACGAGGCGATCAGGCACCTGCCCAAGTACACGCTGAGGGAGCTGCAGGAGACGGGGCCCAATCGCTTCCCACCACATCGCACCCCATCGCTTCCCTCTCTCTGTCCCACTGTCCCACTGTCCCACTGTCCCACTGTCCCACTGTCCCACTGTCCCACCACGCGTCAGAGTCCCAGCGGGTGCTGGTGGGGAACCTCAATGAAGCCATTCGCCATCTCCCAAGTACACGCCGAGGGAGCTGCAGGAGATGGGCCCAACCCCTTCCCGCCACACCCAACCCCATTGTTTGTTCCCTCTCTCTTCCACCACCAGGCGTCAGAGTCCCAGAAGGTGCTTGTATCGAAAGTGAATGAAGCCATTCGGCATCTGCCCAAGTACACGCTGAGGGGGATGCGGGAGATGGGGCGCAGCGAGGCGAAGATTGACGTGACGCGTATGAAAGGGAGTGGCGGGCCAAGGGGTAAGCGGAGCTGCGGAGGGAGGAGACGGGCTCAACCCAAACCCTTCCCACCCCATTCGATCCCTCTTGCCTTTGCTTCCCTTCCGAGCAGGCTTCAGAATCACAGAAGGTGTTGGTAGCAAAGGTGAACGAAGCTATTAACCACCTCCCCAAGTACACGCTAAGAGAGTTGCGGGAGATGGGGCGCAGCGATGCAGAGATTGACGCCTATGAGAGGGAGTGGCGGGCGAAGGGGTATGCGGAGGGAGGAGGAGGAGGCGAGATGAAGCAGGAGCAGCAAGGGGATGTGGGGCAAGTCGGAGGGGCGGGGCAAGCGACTGGGCAAGGAGGTGGGGTGGTGAGAGGAGGGGCGGTGGCACAGCAGGAGGTGGCGAAGCCGGTGGTGGTGCCTGGGGAGGTGGAGAAGGGGAGCATTCATGCGATGGTCACGAGTAACGGCAACCCGTACATGAACTGGCAGACTCTGCTCATGTTCCACACGTACAAGAAGGTGAGAAGGAAGGAACGAGAGGTGCTCATTTGAAGGCATGTCTACCTATAAGAAGAAAAGCAATGCATACATGAACTTACACACACTGCTCATGTACCACACGCACAAGAAGGTGAGATTAGAGGAGGGGGGAATGGGGGGGAGGGGGGGCGGGGCAAGCAGTTGGCATGGGGGCAGACGCTGGCAGACACTGCTCATGTACCACACGTACAAGAAGGTGAGATTAGAGGAGGGGGGAATGGGGGGAGGGGGGGGCGGGGCAAGCAGTTGGCATGGGGCAGACGCTGGCAGACACTGCTCATGTACCACACGTACAAGAAGGTGAGAAGGAAGGAACGAGAGGTGCTCATGTACCACACGTACAAGAAGGTGAGAAGGAAGGAACGAGAGGTGCTCATGTACCACATGTACAAGAAGGTGAGAAGGAAGGAACGAGAGGTGCTCATGTACCACACGTACAAGAAGGTGAGAAGGAAGGAACGAGAGGTGCTCATGTACCACACGTACAAGAAGGTGAGAAGGAAGGAACGAGAGGTGCTCATGTACCACACGTACAAGAAGGTGAGAAGGAAGGAACGAGAGGTGCTCATGTACCACACGTACAAGAAGGTGAGAAGGAAGGAACGAGAGGTGCTCATGTACCACACGTACAAGAAGGTGAGAAGGAAGGAACGAGAGGTGCTCATGTACCACACGTACAAGAAGGTGAGAAGGAAGGAACGAGAGGTGCTCATGTACCACACGTACAAGAAGGTGAGAAGGAAGGAACGAGAGGTGCTCATGTACCACACGTACAAGAAGGTGAGAAGGAAGGAACGAGAGGTGCTCATGTACCACACGTACAAGAAGGTGAGAAGGAAGGAACGAGAGGTGCTCATGTACCACACGTACAAGAAGGTGAGAAGGAAGGAACGAGAGGTGCTCATGTACCACACGTACAAGAAGGTGAGAAGGAAGGAACGAGAGGTGCTCATGTACCACACGTACAAGAAGGTGAGAAGGAAGGAACGAGAGGTGCTCATGTACCACACGTACAAGAAGGTGAGAAGGAAGGAACGAGAGGTGCTCATGTACCACACGTACAAGAAGGTGAGAAGGAAGGAACGAGAGGTGCTCATGTACCACACGTACAAGAAGGTGAGAAGGAAGGAACGAGAGGTGCTCATGTACCACACGTACAAGAAGGCAGGTGCTTATGTTCCATTTCCTTCTCTCTGGGCAGGTGGCATCTGAGGTGGGTAGCAACCTGCGCTTCTTCACGCGAGTGCTCCCTCTCTGCCTCTCTCCCTCCCCCACACTCTGTATCTCTTCCTTCTCTCCTTCTCTCCGGGCAGGTGGCATCTGAGCCAGGCAGCAACCTGCGCTTCTTCACCCGCGTGCTGCATCGCACCAGGGATGATGAGCTCATGCACCTCGTGCCCACTGTGAGAGAATATGGATGTGCTTATAGTGAATGCATCTCGTGCCCACCGTGAGTCAGTCCTTGCCTCGTGCCTGTAGTGACTGCACTTCGTACTGTGAGGAGGCAGCAGCCTGCTTCACGTGGGTGCTGCACCTCGTGGATGCAGCACAGCAGCCTGCTTCACTAACGACGATGAGCTTGTGCACCTCATGGATGCAGCACAGCAGCCTGCTTCACTAAAGACGATGAGCTTGTGCACCTCGTGCCCACTGTGAGTGAATACTTGTGTTTATGGTGAATGCACCTCGTGCCATTTGTGAGTCACGGCTTTTAGAAAATGTGCTTATTGTGATTGAATAAGTGCGGTACTTAGCCTTATGAATGGTACTAAGAGTGAATGCCGTCCTCCTCTTCTTCCTCCTTCTCCTGCGCTCCCCTTGCCTCCTCCCCGTCCCCCACCCGCTGTCCCCTCTCTTGCTTTGAGCCCAGGTGCGAGTGCGACCTTTAGAGCCCAAGTGCGACGACTGGTACGTTGCACTGAGCTCCAGCCCTGTTTTTTTGGAGTTCATTTTCCTCGACCTTATTTTTTTGGAGTTCGTTTTCCTCAACCTTTTTTTTGAAGTCAATTTCCTCAGCCTGTTTTTTTTTTTAGATTTCTCAAAAAACTGGTACGTTGCACTGAGTTGAGTTCGTTTCCCTCAACTCCCCTATATGGAAATCACTTTTGAGAATTCTCAAAAGTGATTCCCTCAACTCCCCTCTTACTCCCCTCTTACTCCCCTCTCGTCTCCCCTCAACTGCTGCTCGCTGGGATGTCTGAACATAAACTCCCCTCTTACTCCTCTCTCGTTCGTCTCCTTCCAGTCCCTCCCTCCACTGCTGATCCTCTCCTGCGCTTCCTCCTTTCCTCCTTTACACCCTCTCTCAAGCCCAAATGTGACAACTGCCACGCTGTGCTCTCCATTTCTCCAAGGCCTTTTTTTCCAATATTTTTGTTTCTTTTGCCCTCTATCTCCTCTCCTTCCCTCCTCCCCTCACCAGGTGTGAGTACCCTGTCGCCGATCGCCCCTTTGCCATCCAGCAGTGGCTGGAGTCGGGTGATGTGAAGGGCGAGTGGATCTTTATGATCGAAACGGACTACCTCTTCGTCAAGTGAGTGAGCTTGTAAAGGGGATGGCAAGCTATGCAGCAGAGTGAGGGGATGGCTCCTTTCATGTGAAGGCCGAGTGGATCTTCGTGATCGAAACCGACTATATATTTGTCAAGTGAGCTTATAGCGGGGATGATGTCAATTCTACAGCACAAAAAATAACGCCGCCTTCTTGTCGTATTAAATTCTTTACGCCTCTGTTTTCCTCCCTCCCCTCCCCCCTTCTCCTCCCTCCTCCTCCTTTTGCCAGTGTAAAACGAACCCGGCCATCCGCTTTTAAAATCTCTGGTCTTCTTTCTCTCCTTCTACTCATACCTCTCGTGTTTTGAGACGTCTCAAAACACTTTTGAAATCTCTGGTCTTCTTTCTCTCCTTCTACTCATACCTCTCGTGTTTTGAGACGTCTCAAAACACTTTTAAGATCTTTGGTCTTCTTTCTCTCCGTTTCTCATACCTCTCGTCCCACTAATCCCTCTCCTCCCTGCCAGACCTGTCGCCATCCCTCCAACGGGGCGTGCTTTAGGCTTCCCATTTGGCTACATCATCCCCACCTACCCCTCCATCCACCACATCATGATTCGGTATGTGTGCTGTGCGGTGCAGTGTGGTGCACTGCTGTGCGATGCTCTGATGTGCGGTTCTGTGTTCTTCACATCGTCCCCACCTACCTGCCCCTCCATCCGCCACATCATAATTCGGTCTGCTCTGCGTTGCTGTACATCGCTCTGCTGCGCGATGCTCTTGTGTATGGTGCGGTGCTGTGCTGTGCTGTGCTCCTCTGTGCCTCCTGTATTGTTCTCTTCTTCACATCATCCCCTCCTACCCCTCCATCCGCCCCATCATGAGTCAGTACAATCTGCTGTGCTGTACTCTTCTGTTCAGTGCAGTGCGGTGCTCTGTTGTGTGGTGCTGTGTGATTTGCTCTGCTTCCGTCACATCATCCCCACCTACCCTCCCTCCCATTACTTCCAGCCCATCATTTTCGGTACTCTCTGTTTCAATCGTCTCTATTCTGCCCTGATTTTGCCCACCCCACCCCACCACCTCTCGCCCTATCACCATCTCTTGTTCTCTCCAGGTGACTTTTGAGTCGACTCAAAAGTCACCTCACCCCACCCCTCCACCCCTCGCCCCGTCACCATCTCTTGTTTTCTCCTCTCCTGCCACGGTTGGAATCAGTTGGTTTCGATCCGCAGCAAGCCTACTAAGAGTTCCCAAATGGTCTTTAGTACTAATTCTACTCGTCTGAAAAGGCAAGGGAAGTCGCAAGCAAGGTCTTTTAGTCAGAATGCCAGACACAATAGCTCCCGGATGTCGCGTGCGAACGCGTTTCGGCCAGCTAAGGCCTTCATCAGCGCACTTCCACCACCACTTCCCCCTTTGCACCTACTATCTGCCATGTCTTCCCCCTTCTATCTGAGAGTCCTCAGTCTGAGGATCCCCTTTGCACCTACTATCTGCCATGTCTTCCCCCTTCTATCTGAGAGTCCTCAGTCTGAGGACCCCCTTTGCACCTACTATCTGCCATGTCTTCCCCCTTCTATCTGAGAGTCCTCAGTCTGAGGACCCCCTTTGCACCTACTATCTGCCATGTCTTCCCCCTTCTATCTGAGAGTCCTCAGTCTGAGGACCCCCTTTGCACCTACTATCTGCCATGTCTTCCCCCTTCTATCTGAGAGTCCTCAGTCTGAGGACCCCCTTTGCACCTACTATCTGCCATGTCTTCCCCCTTCTATCTGAGAGTCCTCAGTCTGAGGACCCCCTTTGCACCTACTATCTGCCATGTCTTCCCCCTTCTATCTGAGAGTCCTCAGTCTGAGGACCCCCTTTGCACCTACTATCTGCCATGTCTTCCCCCTTCTATCTGAGAGTCCTCAGTCTGAGGACCCCCTTTGCACCTACTATCTGCCATGTCTTCCCCCTTCTATCTGAGAGTCCTCAGTCTGAGGACCCCCTTTGCACCTACTATCTGAGAGTCCTGAATTTCATTCCTCAGACAGACATGGCACCGCACCGCACCGCACCGCACCTGCCTCAGCCTCTCTCTCCAATGCTGCCTCCTGCTTCCCTCCCCCTTCCCACTTGCAGCTACTACCCTGGAGACCTCAAGGACATTCCCCAGAAAGGCAACGCACCCGTTCTGTGTTAAATTTCCCCTTCTCTTCCCTCCACCTGTCCCTTTCCTTCTGGCTCCTTGCTCACCCCCCACCCTCCTCGCTTGCAGCTACTACCCCGGAGACCTAAAGGACATTCCCCAGACCGGCAACGCACCAGTTCTTGCTCCCACTGCTGCTCTTGCGTCAGTACCTACCTCTCTCCCTATTCCTCTCTCTCACCTCCCCTTGATGCTTCAGATTGTTTTTGAGAATTCTCAAAAACAATCCCTTGCATCACTACCTCTCTCCCAATTCCCCTCTCTCACCTCCCATTTTTCAATGTTCCTCTCTCACCTCCTCTCACAAGCGGTCCTTGTATTAGCAACCAGAAAATACAAACATGCACTTTCTCTTTCTCTCTTTCTCTCTCTTTCTCTCCAACTTTTCCTTCTCTCACTTCTCAACTCACATTTTCCCTCTCACTTCCCCTCTCACTTTAAGTCCCCCGTTTTCCCCTTCTCACCCATCTCTCTCTCTCTCTCTCACTTGCAGCCTTCGCTTCCCCTCTTCTCTTCCCCTCTCTCACTTCCCCTTGGCGCTTCCCATTTTCTCTCTGCCCTCTCACTTCGTGGCCTTTATATCCATCCATTCCCCTACGCACCAGACGTGTGGTGCCCATATGGGTTGGCACATCACAGCCCAGTTCAAGGCGAATCACCTTCTCTCTCATTCTTCCCCCGCCCCTCCCTTCCCCCCCCCTCCCCCTCCATTCCCCTACGCACCAGACGTGTGGTACCCATATGGGTTGACATCACAGCCCGGTTCGAGAAGGACGAAGAGGCAAAGAAGGACCTTGGGTGAGTGGGCTGGGTGGGCTGGGTGGCTGGCTTGGAAGGCAGGCGGGCGGGCGATTGGGGGGGTGGGTGGTTGGCACTTTGTGTGGGTGGGTGGGTGGGTGGGTGGGTGGGTGGGTGGGTGGGTGGAGTGGAGTGGAGAGAGGTGATGGAATGGAACGCAAAGTCTAGTTTTGAGGCGCCTCAAAACTAGCGGCGGGCTGGCGGGTACTTGGGCGGGTGGGTGGAGTGGAGACAGGTGATGGAATGGAACACAGAGGGAGGGGTGGAGGGGGGAGGGGAGGGATGAATGTGATGGGATGATGTATGCTTTCTCCCTTGCTGCTGCTCTAAGCAACATGCTCTCCTCTCTCCGCTGCCAAATGCACGCCTCCCTTCCTTCCTGTCTTCCCTTCTCAAACCTCACGGTCCCCTCCTGTATTCCTCCTCCTCTCCTCCGCCCCTTCCCATCCCCCACCATCACAGGTGGGTGCGGGAGATGTATGCATTCTCCATCTCCCTTGCACTCCCTGCGTAACCGTCTCACACCCGACTCGCCCTCCCCTCTCCTCCCCCTCATCCTCTCCTTCCCGTCGTCCTCTCCTCTCCCACCACCAGCACAGGTGGGTGCGGGAGATGTATGCATTCTCCATCGCTGCAGCGCTCAGCAACAAGCCCTCCTAACTCCCTTGCACGTCTTCCTGTCTTCCCCTCTCACAACCCTCCCCCTCTACCTCCCACCATGGCAGGTGGGTGAGGGAGATGTATGCATTCTCCATCGCTGCAGCGCTTGGAAATATGCCCATCGATCTGCCCCTAGTGCCACACGCCATCATGGTGCAGGTGAGTGGGATGTGGTGTAGGTGGGATGTGCATGTGCATGTGCATGTGCATGTGCATGTGCATGTGCATGTGCATGTCATGAGCATGTCATGTGCATGTGCATGTCATGTGCCTGGCATAACATGATGACAAAATGCCCATCGATCTGCCCCTAGTGCCACACGCCATCATGGTGCAGGTGCAATGGTGAATGTGGTGGGATGTGCATGGCATAGCATGGCATGGCTTGGCATGATGGTGCTGTAACGCTCTGCAACCCTGATGCCACATGCCATCACGCTGGAAATGCGGCCATTGGCCATCACATATGGGAATACATATCACCGTCCCTTCTCTCCCCTCAACCATGCGGCCTTCCATGTCTTCCCTCCGGCCCTTTCTTTCCCTGACCACCCTCCACTGTAGCCTCCAGCCGTCTCTGTACTGGCCAACGCAGCCATTAATCATCACACATGGACGGCACTTTACCATCCCTTCTTCTCACCCCTTCGGCCCCAAAAATCCCCGCTTGTCTTCCCTCCGATCCTGCCTTTCCCTGACCACCCTCCCTCACAGCCTCCAGCCGACTCAGTATTGGGTGATGCGGCCATCATTCATTACACGTGGGGCTACGAGTTCAAGGTACAGTACTATCTTTTTCTTATTGTCGACCTCAAAATATTCGGAAATCCAATGCCGAGTAGAGTAACAATTATCAATCAAATGTCATTCCCCCATCCCCCCTTTCCATTCCCACTTCTTCCTTAGGACGAAGCTGACAACGTAGTGTGGCGATTTGACAAGAGAGACTACACACAGCCTGGGCAAGTACCGCCAATTCTTGCCGACCCACCGCAAGGGGTAAGCCAACCTGCAAAAGTAACCTTAACTGCAAAAATGATGTGTCATTCATTCCAAACATGTTTCTGCCATACATTACATTCATGTGGTACACGCCGAGGAAGAAACATTTCTTTCCTATCATATATCGATGTTGCTCCGTCGTCGTACCACCCCCTTTACTCGAGCAGAAGGCCTCAGAGCTGCAACTTATCATGGTCCGTGTTATCAACGATGCAATTCGCACGGTCTTCTACCCTGGCACAAACTCAAACGTCAAGCCCTTGATTGGGTGACTCCCTTTCTGCATATTGACATCATAATCCGAAAATGTTTGACAAAAAAATGCTTTGTCATGATTTTTTTTTGTAAGATATGTTTCATGGTGATGTTCACGGTCGAGCCACACACGGCGCAATATCGAGGTGCAGTAAACAGAGCCTCCCTAAAAAAGGAAGTCCGAAAATGCACGAAACTTCTGGTTACCGCCAGGATGTGTGGCCTATTGTTGGATTTTTCACCAGACGACAAAAACATGTTTTCTCAGCTCTGAGAATTACCCGCGGAGCGCGCATTTCACAAACCAAGGCGCGCATGTCATGTCGAGCCGCGTAGAAACGGGTAACTTCATGTCACCCTCCGCTGCCCTCCTCCTACATTCGAACCTTCCCCCCCACCGCCATCGCCTCCACCACTTCGTCTAGTCTCGTTAATCCTCGCCAAGCCTCGCCTCACCTCGCTATTGATTTCGTCAGTCAGCTCGTTTTCGCGCACGCGCATCCACGCCCAGCCTTTCGCCCTCAGACCCTTGCCCCTTCCGCAGTGACAATCACTCACTCCGCGTGCATTTCCCCCGCAACGATCCAACGAGCAACCATAAATAGCGGTGGTCATTCTTCATTTGAGCCATCAGCTTTTCAAAACCAATCCAACTCGCATTCCTAGCTTCCCTAATTACCGATTGCAATAGCCTAATTTGGAGCAAAACTCTCTGCAGCAGCGATTACCCTAGGACTTTTAGACAAGTGCGCAGCATCATCGATTTCTTGGCTTAGTTCGTCAGCATATGGAGTTCCCCGCCTATCCTAGCTTCGTCACCCCCTGGGCTCGCTCCCTTCTCTTCCCGGACGCGACACCACTGAAGCGCAAAGCGGATAGCGAGACGTCCACCATTCTCGACTCCACTTTACCACCTTTCGTCGCCAGCCCATAGAAGCGCCTTCGCGTACCCGAGACTAGCTTTTGTGACGTTAAGTCTTCGCCCTCCGCCACTCCCAGCTCAGTCTTTTCCGCATTTGACGGAGAGTTTCAAGCCTTGCCCCCGCTGACCCCATCTTCCCCAACAAGCTCCCCCCTCGCCTCTCCGCCAAACTCCCCCCTCTCCTCCGTGACAGCCGCATCCGCTCTCACATATTCCCCTGCTCCCCTCGCATCCCCCGCGCCCGCCGCTTCCCCCGCCGCTTCCGCTGCCCCCGCGCTCCCCCGGCGCCTCAAGGGCGTGCGGCAGCGCAAGTGGGGGCGGTGGGTGACGGAGATCCGCTGCCCGCGCACCATGACGCGCGTGTGGCTGGGCTCGTATGCGACGGCGGAGGAAGCGGTTCGCGTTTACGACATGGCGGCGCTGATGATCTTCGGCGAAGTTGCCTCGAAGGTCACTCTCAACGCGCCTGACGCGGCCCCGCGTCCCGTGACCGTTGCAAAGAGCATCGCCGAGGCGCTGATCAAGGTTGCGCGGGCCAGCAGCGGCGACGGCGATGCGACTCCCGTTGACCTGTCCGCGTTTCGCGGGGATATGGCCTGCTTGGAGGTTGTCGGGCAGAACGTGGTTGTGTCTGAATGCCCACTTGCGCCGCACGCGCTGACAGTGACTCCTAACGCCCAGCGCGAGACCAGCCATCTTCCGAAAAGTGAGACTGCCACATCAACCAGCGTTGATTGCGAGATTTATCAGAAGCAGTCGGACGCGGCTACTGCTACTAACGGAGTGGCTTACAATGAGAATGTATCTGCCTCTGACGTCCCATCCCCGCTATCCATCATTGACGAGCTCTTCAGCGACAGCTTTTGCGACAACCTGGCGACTCCTGCAACAATGTCGCCCTCGGTCTGCGACTTGAGCGATTTTGAGAGCCTGGAGAACGTCTCCAGCCTCTGGGAAGAAATGTTCTGACTGAGGTTCACAGAGACGTCGTTCAGGCAGCACCAACGCCACAGGCAGCAGCACCAGCACAAGCTCCCAGCACACGTCGTTCAAGCTCCCAGCTTTACCAGCACCAGCAGCACCTGTAGTTTATGCATTATTAGGTCGCTTGCTCCTCGTGGACAGCCATCATGAGACTCCTCCAGTGCTCTTAGCTCCCCCTCCTACAGCTCTCTTCTCCCCCTTATTTTTTCCTAGCGGGAAAGAGAAGCTGTAGGCGAGGCGTACAGGAGCCTCATGATGCCTGTCCATGGGTGACTGTTAGGTATCCGTGTAATTTCCTTCTTGTTATTGGAAATATATTTTCTTTGCAAGTGCACATCATCCAGTTGTTGCAGGTTCCTATTGGCACCTTTGCTTGCATTGCAATTGGGAATTCAATTGCGGATGAACACGAAGATTGTCTATGACGGTTGTGGACACAGTGGCTAACTAATGTGAGTAAAACATTTTTTCCACACACAATCTCAAACAGAAAAATACCATCTCAATTTTTTGTGAACATGACAAATAGAAATGGTGACTGCACTACGAAATCAACATGAAATCATAATGCATGAGGGGTGTTATTACGAATGAGGTGTGAGCTTCTGCTAATGTACTTGTGGAATTCGTTGCCGAACTACTTGTGATATCTGAGGCGCAGCAGCTCCTTCAAATGGAGGGTGACTCAATAAAGGGGTTTTTTGCGATATGTTGGGTGGGTTGTGAGATATTCTGACTTTTAGCGTAACGACAAAATACGATTTTCCGTCCTCCAGCGTTCCCAACAAAACCTGGGATCGAATTCACCCGCGGAGCGCGCAATTCACAGTCGAGGCGTGCATTCAGCATGACGAACCGCATCTGAATTGGTGCGTCCCTTTTTCTTCCCCTGCCCTCCTTCCCCATTCAAACCTCCGCTTTCTCTTCCGCCACCTCCCCTTGCCTCAGTTGTCTCGCATTCGACTTTCTTCGTCTCTTTTCGTCACGCTTCGTTCTGTCGCGAAATATTTTCGCCAGCAAAACATGAAGCTTCGTCAATCAACAGCCACCCGGGTTCCTTCCGCCCACAGAGCCTTTCCTCTTCCGCGATGTCGGTCGCTGTTCCGCGTACTCTCCCCAGACCCAACGAGCACCTCCATAACATCTTCAATTCCATCAGTCAGCTTTTCCAAAACCAACACCCTTCGCGCTTTCTTTCTTACGACCAGCGAACTCAACTTACCGTTTCACAGAAAAACTTCACAGCAGTAGCAAACAGCCTAGCTATTACTTGACTCAGCACGTTAGAAAATGGAGTTTCCCGCCTTTCCCAGCTTCGTCACCCCGTGGGCTCACTCCCTTCTCTTCCCGGACGCAGAAACGCTGAAGCGCAAACTCGATAGCGAGGTGTCTACCTTTATGGACTCCACAGTACCGCTTTTCCTTCCCAACGGCCCAGAGAAGCGCGCTCGCATTTCCGAGACTAGTTTCAATAGCATTAAGTCTTCACCCTCCGCTACTCCCAGTTCGATCCTTTCCGCCGTCGACGGCGAGTTCCAGCTCTTGACCCCGCTGCCCGCGCTGACCGCGTCTCCACAAACAACCTCTCCGCTCGCCTCTCCGCCAATCTCCCCCTTCTCCTCCCCGAGTTACTCATCCGCACTCGCGTGCTCCCCCGCTCCCTCTTCGCCTCCCGCGCCCGTCGCTCCCCCCGCCGCTGGCCTCGCCGCTGCTCCCGCGCTCCCCCGGCGCCTCAAGGGCGTGCGGCAGCGCAAGTGGGGGCGGTGGGTGACGGAGATCCGCTGCCCGCGCACCAAGACGCGCGTGTGGCTGGGCTCCTACGCGACGGCGGAGGAAGCGGTGCGCGTGTACGACATGGCGGCGCGAATGATCTTCGGTGAAGTTGCCTCGTCTGTAGCGGTCCCGCGTCCCGTGACCGTTGCGAAGAGCATCGCCGAGGCGCTGATTAGGGTTGCGCGAGCCAATAACGACGACGGCGACGCGACTCCCGTTGACCTGTCCGCGTTTCGCGGCGACATGGCGAGTTTGGAGGTTGTCGGGCAGAACGTGGTGGTGTCTGAATGCCCCTTCGAACCGCTCGCGCCGGAAATGGAGCCGAGCGTCCTGGAAAATGCCTGCATTCTTCCAAAAAGCCAGTCTGCCACGTCAACGAATGAGCCACGCGATGATGTTACCAGTGACGCGGCCACTATTAACGGAGCCGCGGATTACGAAAAGTTATCTGCTTCCGACGTCCCATCTGCCCTATCCCTCATTGAAGAGCTCTTCGACGACAGCTTCTGCGACATGGTGGCGACGCCTGCGGCAATGTCGCCCTCGTTCTGCGACCTGGGCGATTTCGAGAGCCTGGAGAATGTCTCCAGCCTGTGGGAAGAAGTATTCTGATTCGTCATAGCCTAAAGGCTTCCTTGCAGCATTAGCGGCTGCTTTAGCATCAGCAGCAGCAGCAGCAGCAGAAGCGGCAGCAGAAGCAACAGAAACAGCAGCTGCAGCTCACCAACTACAGGCTCTACCGTGAATTATTACCGTAGGATGCTTGCTCCTCGTGCACAGCCATCATGAGACTTCTCCACTGCTCGTAGGTCCCCCTAAAGCAGCTCTCTCCCCTTTCTCTCTCGAGGCGGGAAAGAGAAGCTGCGCTGGTAGCGTACAGGGTACTCATGATGCCTGTCCATGGGGTGATTACACCCCTTTGTTTCTATCCTTATTAAATCAAAATTGTTATTAATACCATCAGATATGTTTTCTTTCTGGCCTCCTTACTTTCCAACGCATCTTGGGATACTTCCAGCAATATGAGAGAGAGAGAACATTTCTGAACACTGATCTAACCCCTAGGTAACAAAATTGGAGAGTGTGCAGTCAGCCCAACCAAGCACAGGTTAGCTTCCTGTCTGCACAGCTCTGTATAGGTGCCTCCTCCCAGTTAAACTGCACACAACAGGTGTCACTCCGGGCAGGTGAGACTAGCAATTGATGCCATCCCCATATGCACAGGCCGTCTTCCCTGCATGGCGGCTGTCCCTTCAGGTGAAACCCCCTTCAGGTGAAACTTCAAACCACTGCCTGACGGTGGAGAGCCAGCTCTTTCATGCCTCTCGCCAGTAGGCCCACCACAGCAGCTCTCGGCCTGTGCTGGCGAGCGTGATTGAGTGCACGAGGAAAGCCCAAATGGCTTGTGTTCAGTTGCTCTGGAATTTGCATGCGGTTTGATTCAGGTACGGTAGCAGGGCCAGACGTAGCAGCTGATGCATTAGCAGTAGCAGTAGCAGCAGCAGCAGATGATTCAGAATCCCTTGAACAATCTGCAGAAGTGCTGCTGATGTGGCGTGAATAAACGGCTGTCCACTTGGCGGAGAGGTATGGGTGTCGGCGCCAGGGTGGCACGTGCATGCCCTGGGCATGCAGAGAGAGCCGCATCGCCTCTGATAAAATCTCCACCAGTCGGTGCAGCCGGTCCGGGCAGCCGACAAAAGAAACAGGGGTCAGCTGCAAGATGTAACTGTACTGCGGAGTCGGACGAGCGACTTGAAATTGTGCCCGGAAGTCTAGGTCAACTATGAGCCGCTCAGGTTGACGATGTGGGGAGGATGGATGAAGGACGACGTCACAGTACTCGTGAGAGCCTGCCAGCAGAGACGGAAAGAGAGTGAGAGGTAATGTAAGAAGGACGAGAAAACGCTGAAACGGTATGTACAGAAAGGCTAAGAGGGGAGATGCGGAGCCAAATCCAGGAAAGGGATGGGCGAGGAGGAGAAGTCTCTCGAGGAGCGAAGGCACGTGAAATCTGGGCTCACCATCAGGGACGCCGTTGGAGTAGTCCCACTGAGAGTAGCACACAGCAGCATCATATCCCCGACTCCGCAACTGCTGCACCACCGCGTTGCGTACAGTGCCGCTGCTTGTGCTGACGTCGGCAGACAGGTTCCTCGAATGCTCCATAGCGGCGGAGACGACATCGGAAATTGAATATTCTTCTGGGGTCTCACAACAGCTGAGTGGCTGTAAAAAGTAAGAGACGACACAACAGAAGAAAGCAGGGTGTCGTCCTTCATATTAAAGCTGCGCTTGCAGAGAACCTGATGGCAACAGATAATTCGCAAGGGACAACAAGGCTCGTCAGACCAGCCAGGCTCACTAACCTCGATCATGGAGGCGAGTCGTTCTATTTCGCTGCACGAGCTGTTATCCGTCCCTTGATTCGCACAAAGGCCACCGTGATGGTAACTCAGACGCAGCTGGCAGTCCAGGCCGTTACACTGGGCCCCTCCGCAAAATTGACACCGCCACGTATCAGCAGGAGCGTCGTACACGTGATTCTCCCGTTTCCCGCTGACGCATCTCGCCGAGTCACGCCCTGCACCGTCGTTTTCGCCATAATGGGTTGAGCCGTCATGCGCTGCTGCTACTGTCGGTTCCAATTTGGATTTTTTGGCAGACCTCGCTTGAGAGACCGGGAGCTTGTTCCTGTGACAGTCATAACCGTCGCCAGCGTCGTCAGCAACGTCGCTGTCTTCCTCGATGAACTCGGAGACCATTTCGTCAAGGCAAAACGAGTCGCATGATGAGCCGCTCTGAGAGCTGTGACAGTGTAACGGAAGCAAGAATCGGGAAAGGCGGTGGAAGTTAGAAAAGGAACAGATAAATAGCTGACAAAAGGATTTCGGAGGGACGAGTAGCTGTAGCACGCACCAGGGAATGATAAAAAAAGGGAAATATGCCAGCAAGCAAGATGGGTTCGCCAGCTGGTCTACTAACCTGTTGCAGCTGCTGGGCGGGATGTTGCTGCTGACGTGGCGTATCAACTGAAGGCCAGCGACACTGTCCCATGTGGAGTTACTCGTGCTGCTGTACCCTGATGCCTCCGTGGTGGGTTCATATACGACAGTCTTCCTAGACTCAACGAAAGCGGCTTCCATCGTTGAAGGCTGGGTCATGTCGGTCAAAGGGGGAAGGAACTTATTGGTAAGGGAGACATGTGCGAGGGAAGCTTGGAACGTGGTCTGGCAGAGGGAGGTCGTGGTGCCCAGGGCTAGAATGTCAAGGAGACCAGACATAGTAGCTGCGTGAAATTTGGTCCTGCGATGCCTGGTTCGTGCTGCGCTTCCTGAAGAATTTGACTACTCGAGGTCTCGAAGTCTAGCGGATGTTGCCGGTTGCGAGCTCTTGTTAATCGTAGCAGCTAGTCCGGATGGATGAGCAAGATGTAAGGGAGTCTGAGCTTACTGCGGTCTCGTAGATAAATGTGCCAGCAAATTTCGATTTCTATAGCTATGGCTGTACAAGATTGACTGTCAAATGCAACTGATGTGAAGCATCTGCTGGGACGAATATCCTGGAGGAAATTGCTCATGGGATGGAGGATGCTGACATTGAAAGGTTCTTCCCAGAAACGTCAGGACCACACAAGTTGGCTGGCTTTCTTCCGTAGGTGCTGCGCTGTGTGTGTGGAGAAGAGGAACTCAGGGAACAGACTGAATGATTCCTTTTGTGTTGTGTCAGAGATTTTTGACCAAACGGAAAATCCATGGCTACACCTAGCCCGCGCCAAATTCACTAGGGCCATTTTCACCCCCCCCTTGTCGCTATGTGGGTCAGGGAGGTTGGGTGCTGCACAGGGGCGCCCCCCACAAACCCCCCTACAAAAATGTTACGGCCATTTTCACCCCCCCCCCACTACAGACAAGCTTGACCAGTGCTGGGGGGGCGTGAAAATAGCGCGGGCTAGGTGTATTGCTGAGGGACCAACGACCCTGGGCAGAGAAGAGGCCAACCGAAAACGACCTTTCAATTCAAGATTCCACGGACCACCACCACGCTGAGCAGCAGCATAGTGCATGCGCGTTGATACCGTACCTCAGGGGACCTCCCTGATTCGGATTGACATGACACGCTGGTGGCGACACGTGTGGTTCGGAGACGGGTCCTTTTGGAAGCTGCATGACGCGGACGGGAGATGTGGATAACGTTGCGTCATCCAAATTCCAGGTCAAGGATAAATCCTGCCCGGAATCCAGGCTTCGTTGAGTCGCTTGCTCCGGGTTGGATGAAATGTAGACTTGATGCATCGATTCCAACCGTACGAGGCACCTCGCCCGTGAACTGGTTGCGAGGATTCCCATTCGCCAGATGCTGGGAAAGCCACGTCGGAAATTGCGGCCAATACGGTTTGAATTGAATAGAGAATTGCAACGATACAGTTCTCGCGCGGTGCGGACTCGCTCTTAGCGTATGGCGTGGCGTGAGGTGCGCTGGTTCTTTTTGTTGATGTGCGTGGTTGGGGGAAGTTGGGTGGGAGGGGGGAAAGGGGGGCTGTTCTTGAAGATGCGTCTCGGCATCTTTCCATGCGCGCCAACCAAATAATGGGTCAGATTTGGGGCATCGGTTGGGTACGCGCACGCGCACCGACATTTGGAAGCCTTGATTCCAGCCAATCCAGATCAGCGGGGTGACTGACGAGGCACGGGACTGGAGTTCCCTATGAGCATGCCAGAACGAGCCCATTGATTCGAGGAAGACCGCCATGCATATTGGACCCAATCGCTGACGCTGATGATTCAAAAGTGACACGCCAGCCGAAGCCACTGCCACGACAGATGACAATTCCCCCAACGAGTCTGCCATAGCCCAAGGATGCAACCTTGCATTCAGAAAACTACACTTCACGTAACTTGATGTCGCACCGTATATGCTGCATAGTTCTTCCATTCTACCTACACTTCTCTTTCATGGGGAAAGGAGCAACACGGCACATGCCTTGAGACAACTTAGCTATTCTTTCACACTGCACTCCTAACCAATATACCAAGGAAATATTCCATTCAACCTTAAACTGAGGTCAGATCCACACAAAATACAGCATAACAAATACAAATGCTCCACCCCTCCACTATATCACCCATGGCTCAGAACCACACCCGCACGAAGCAACTCTCTGCGCGCCCTTTCACCAACCTTGCTTGCCTCCACCTTCAAATCACGCAACTTTGGGAAGCTTCCCAGCAGCCCTCCAACCCCATCTGCAGTTATTCCATCACACTCGAGCATAGTCAGATGCGTGAGCATCTGCAATTTGCTTCTTGCGACCACCCGGTCTGAAAATTCCTCGTTATGTTCCATGATCAAAGCCACCAGGACAGAGCAAGCTTGCAGCAGCAGAACCAGCTGCTCCTCCTTCAGACAGAAGCACGACACCAGAGAAAGGTGCTTCAGCCGCCCGCAAACAGCAGCAAGTGCAGTAAATTCAAAGGACTGTGGCTGAGCGCTCGGGCTTCAAATGGTTGACACGGGAGCAGGAGAGAGGCGGGAAGAGATGCGGGACGAGGAGGGAGAAGAGGGAAGAGGAGATTCGGCTGCTGCATGAGAGGATCCTTGGGAATCCACGAGGCACATGAGAGGTGATTCGGGGGGGAGGGATGGAGGCAGCCAGGTAGGCTCGGGAGTGGTTCGGGTGAAGTGAAAGGCCCGGAGAGTTAAGGAGTGTAAGGGGGGACAGATCACCTCCACGGGAATTCCAGCAGTGCCCATTTTGGTGGTGCCGGTGCCATTTGGTTTGCCTGTCGTGCTTCTGCTAACCCGTGCAGCTCTGCTGATGCCGACTGGTTTCGATCTGTCATTTTGCTTTCTGCTGCTGCTGCTGCCAGCAGCAGCAGCAGCAGAACCATCACCAGCACCATCAGCAGCACCATGATCATCAGCAGCACCATGATCATCATCAGCAGCAGCAGCATCCGCAGCACCGGCACCATAACCACCAGCATTAGCACCACCAGCACCACCAGCACCACCAGCACCACTACCAGCCGCAGCAGCACCACCAGCACCACCACCATCACCACCACCAGCACTAGCACCACCAGTACCACCAGCACCACGAGCAGCAGCAGCAGCAGCACCACCACCACCACCAGCACCAGCACCAGCACCAGCAGCAGCAGGGAGAGCAGCGACAAGGCGGCCGTCAGCAGTCCTGCGGGGCCGACGCATGGCTCTGATGCTCGCCAGGGCCACATTCCCCTGCTGGTAAAACTGCTGCAGCAGCGACTCCATCACACTTAAAGCCTCCACCCGTGCGTCATCCCCACCCGCACCCCCTCCGGTCTCACCCCCGCCCTCACTTCCTCCCTCATCCTCACTCCCTTCACCACCACCATCACCATCTCTAAGCGAGTCGTCATCAGGCAACATCCCATCAAAGTCTTCTAGCCGAGCCAGTCCCCCGCCGCCTTCGCCCTCCCCTTGCGACGCCTCAAAACCTCTCTCCATAAACACCCCCGCAGTCGTGCCAGCAGCAAACGCCTCTATCACCGCGTCCTCTCTCGCCGTCGCCGCGTCTTGCTCAGAAACCGCCACCCGCAGCGCCTTGCACGTCGAGATCGCACATCTGATTTGATTCGAGGCGGATTTGATCTCAGAAAGGGCGTATTCGGGGCGGGCCGTCCGTGCCCGCCGGGCGGAATCAGGGGCAGCTGTGAAGGCCTTGCTGGTCGCTCCCATGAGATCTGACAGGTCTGTACATGCTGCCACCAGGTCTGCTCGTGCTGCTGCTGCTGTCGTTCGAATGTCCACATACTCCTTTGCTCCTTCTCTTTGTTCCTTTTCCGTTCCTTTTCCGTTCCTCGAGTCAACTGCAAGTGGTGGTGGTGCTGCTTCTGCTGCTGCCTTTCCTGCTCCCGCTCCTGCTACAGCGTCAGCATCAAGTAACGCTCCTCTTGCACCCTCTCCCCTGCCAGCCTCTCCCCTGCCAGCCTCTCCCCTGCCAGCCTCTCCCCTGCCAGCCTCTCCCCTGCCAGCCTCTCCCGCTTCACATTCCTCTCTAACTACGTCTCCACCCTCCCCTCCTTCCTCCCCTTCTTCCTCCCCTCCTCCCTCTCGTCCTACCTCTCCTCCCTCTCGTCCTCCCTCTCCTCCCCTCTGCACCACGCGCACCAGCATACCCACAAGACTCTCAAACGACACCTGCTGAAGCACCACCCTTTCCTCCACATCCCCCTCTCCCTCCCTCCCTCCTCCACCCCTTCCCTCCCATTCACCCTCCCTCCCTCCTCCACCCCTCCCCTCCCCCGTCCCAGGCTCACCATCCCTCGCCCTTTGCACAGATATTGTCTCAGGCTTTCCTCCCAAGGAGAGGGAATGAAGGCCGCTGCATGAGCAAGCATGCCAGGGCGAAAGGACGGCAGCCCAGAGAGGTCTAGTGCGTTCAAGCGGGGTGCGGAGAGGTGAAGGAGGGAACGGAAACCCTGGGCGCTGAACAGGCGGTAGGAGGTGCTGTGGAGGGAGAGGGAGGAGAGAGCAGAGTTGGCCTGAACCAGAGCAGCTAGAGAGTGGCTGGAGACTAAGGAACAGTCGTGGATGGTAAGGTGGGTGAGTGTGTGGAGGGAGCGAGAGAGAGTGTGAAGCTCGAAGGGATCAATGGAGCAGGAGAGGAAGGAGAGGGAGGTGAGGGCGGGGAATCGGCGGAGGGAGGAGAGGCAGGACTGGAGCTTTGCGGAGTGGAGGGTGAGGGTTTTGAGGGAGAGGCGGAGAGAGGAGGAGGAGGAGGCGAGGGAGGAGAGGGTGGAGGGTGTGGGGTTGCAGAGAGTGAGGGAGGTGAGGGAGGAGCTGCGAGTGAGGGGTTGCCGTTTTGAGGGGGGGATGAGGAGAGAGAGGGAGTGAAGAGAAGGGAAGGCGTTGAAAGGAGGGAGGGGGCTTGGGGTGGCATGTCGGTAAAGGTTGGGGCTATGACGGGCGAACGGGGAATCGAGCTCTAGAGATGTCAAGAGCCTGATAGGAGGGGGGAGAGAATGGACGGATGAGAGAGAATGGACGGATGAGAGAGAATGGAAGGATGAGAGAGCATGGAAGGATGAGAGAGAATGGACGGATGAGAGAGAATGGACGGATGAGAGAGAATGGACGGATGAGAGCGAATGGAAGGATG